CTAAATCAATGATTTTAGTGGACATAAAAATATTATGTCCATTAAGAACAAAGTTTTGTTTTTGCCAATCTTGTCCTTTCTTTAATAGCATTCGTCAGTTTCAGGGGTCAGAACACTATGACCTTTATGTTGTCTATATTTGGAAGTGAAGTTTTATTGAGCAACACAGCCATAGCCATTCATTATACATTAAGTATGGCAGAGTTAAGGAGAGGTGGTCATTTGGCCCAGAAATCCCCAAATATTTGCTTATCTGGTTATTAACAGGAAAACTATGCCAATTCCTAATCCATTTCATCTAAATTATCATATTTATTTACAACAAGTGTGCATAATTTTTACTTCCTATCCTTTATATTTGTCTTTAAAAATTATAGTAATGGCTCCATTTTCATTCCTGATATTACTGAACATGTTCTCTCTTTTTTTTTTAACATCCACACTGTAAGCCAACTTATTGATCTTTTTGGCTTGTTCAATATTCTACTATATGATTCATTTCTATTTTACTAATTCCCACTCTGACATTTAGTAATTTCTTCCTTATTCTGATTTTATTTGGTATTCTTATGATTTGTTGAGAAACAAACCTATTTTCCAATAATTTTCATTTTGGAAAATACACATTTTAGAGCTATGTTTTACTTTTAAGCACACATTGGCTGAATCCCACCAGTTATGTCAGAAAATCACTATCTTCACTTCAAAATATTTTCCAGTTTGTAATAGGACTCCTTCCTTAAACCAAACATATGGTACTTAATTTCTAACTAGAAAAGTGATTGCCTCAAAGCAGAAGGTTAGAGTGAGGAATAGTAGGAGGAAAGTGTTATAGAAAAACTATGAAGAGTTAAGATTTAACCTACTAGGGTGATGACAGTAGCCTAAATCTTAAAAGAAGTTTAATTTACATAGTTGTATGTATTTGTCAAAACTCAACAGATACACGTACGTATGTGATTTGTGCACTTAATTTTCTGTAGCTTTTACCTAAAATGTTTAAATAATTATTGAATTCCAGTTGATATAAATACTAAAGTGTTTAATGGAAAGTAGACTGATAAATGCAATGCAGTTTGAAATGTATTCACAACTAAAATGATGAATGGTGGGATAGAAGGGTTAGATGAATGCATAGAAAAGATTAATGGTAGAATGTAGGTCAACATATACAGGTTGTTCACTGTAGACATATGAGGAGGACTTTTAAGTTTTTTTATATCATTTTATAAGTGAATAATCTTGGCTTTCTTTTTTACACATAAAACTAGCCATTAAAAAATTCTGCTGTTATTTCATATCAATTGTCATTTGAGTTGTAGTAAACAATATACAGCACAGTTAATCCCAAATGGAAAGTGTTCAATAAGGGGACTTACAAATGCATAGTACTAGTACTTGTTCTTCAGAAAATGCACATTACATTTGGTATAGACTTCATGTTTCCCCCAGGTTTTCTGAACCACCCAGTCCCATCTGGCAATAGTTTTTTGTCTTTAAAGTTCCTTTCTACCATTTGGGGAATTTTCATTTTCAGCATCAATGAAAAAGAAATCCACTATGCTCCATTGCACATCAGAGCAACAAACTTTTTTTTAAGTTATCATTTAAGAAAATTGGAAACTATCTCCATAATTAAATGGCTATGGGAAAACCTCATAACGTGCAGAGGCTATGACAGTTTAAGCAAAATAAAGGAAAACATTAACTAATTTTTCTAAATCATCAAAATGGTTTGGATTGTGTCCCAATTTTAAGCGAATATCAGCCAAACCAATTCTGCCAGTGGAAACTCAAAACAAAATACATAATTATTAATATTTATTACATTCCCAGAACAGCAGCTGAAAAAAAAAAGGCTGCCATTAACAAGTACTGTAGATTACAGAACAGACACTTCTACAACAGGTTTCACACCATGAGGAACAAACCAGGGCAGTTATCAATAAGAAAAAGACACACACACACACACACACACACACACACACACACACACACACACACACACACGCACACACACACACACACACACACACACACACACACACACACACCCTGTCATTCCAGGGCAGTTATCAATAAGAAAAACACACACACACACACACACACACACACACACACACACACACACACACCCTGTCATTCCAGGGCAGTTATCAATAAGAAAAAGACACACACACACACAGTCATTCCAGCACTTGAGATGCTAAAGCAAGAGGATCTTGAGTACCAGTCCAGCCTGAGCTATTTGGTTAGACCCTTACAAAAAAGAACAGAAAGATAAGGAATCTCTAAGCACAAAAAGCCAGAAGATTTTGTAGTTTTTGTCTATAAAGACACCCAGAAGGCATCTGTCTACTAAGTTGTAGTGTGTTTACCTTTGAAAAAGTATATTTAAGTGATATAGATAAATTATAGACTAGTGCAAACTACTAAAACTATTTCAAAAAGGAACAGACATGCTGAATGTTTTATAAATATTGTACCAAGTTAACACCAAACCTAAATAGTTTAATAGTAAAGAATATGGGAGGGGGGGGAACCTTTCCCCTCCATTCCATTCCATGAAACTAATATACTCTACTGTCAACATAACAAAGGAAAATTGCAGAACAATCTGATTCATGACAAAATGTAGTCAATCAAGTATTACTAAATTGCATGTAACTAACAGGTTTATCTCATAAACACATGGTTATGTTAACATTAGAAAAATCTATTACTCTGAGATATATGATTAAAATTCATGCAACTTCCAAAATTAATATTAATGGAGCTACAAGTTCTTTTCATGAACTGTCTACCCATTAACTGCTAAATTCTGCAATAACACTAGCATTATTTTTTTTGAAAACAAGAAGGAAGAAAACATATATTCAAGTTTTAGATGAAATAGGAATCACCTTTTGTTTGCACTGATGAGCATATATTCTTTAATACACAAGAACAATCTCAAGTATTTATAAAAGAAAATCCTTTCTGAAGATTATTTCAATTTAATCAGGATTTAAAGAAAATAGAACTTTTATCCTTATCATCCTTCAGTGAAATAAGTTGAGTCTTAATATCTTAATCAGAAGATAGAGGGAAACAATAACACTGAGAGTTTGATGTCCTGTGGTCTTCCTTAATAACCCACTTTCAAGAGACCATAATCTGCCCAACAGAAAGCCTTCTCTCAAGGATCTTAATCAGATTCGAGAAAATTCAAAGGCAAAATAAACAATATTAGACCAAAACCAAAACAACATAGGTATTACCATCTATACAAAAGGCTAACCTCCCCTGATGAGTCATTTTTTAAAATGATGAAAGGCTTAAGTCTTTGAAGTGTTTTCTATTCAAGCTGGAAGATATATAAAGGTAGGGAGTCTGTTAGCAAACAGGATGACTGTGAAATTTTTCGTTTTACACATCCTGTTTTACTTTATGCAAACATTATACTGAGAATGGCAAAAATGAGTCTCTCTTCCTATGTATTAATACTAATTTTTTCTTTGTTTTCTCAAGGTATCTTACTTTCAGACTCCAAGTCCATACGAAATTTAGAAGATGACATGGTACTTAATACATTTAGGATGGGAAAAGCCTTTCAGAAGGAAGATACTGCAGAGAGATCAGTTGCTGCTCCTTCTCTGGAACAATACAAAAATGATGAGAGTAGTTTCATGAACGATGAGGAAAACAAAAATTCAAAGGTAAGTAGCAATGTTATTTGTCTTGTGTTGCAATGTAAATATTTTTATAAAATTACACACTGTCTGAAAAGTAAAATTGGCATTTTAATTTTATCGATAGAAATATATGCAAATAAGAAGCATTAAGACAGGAGATGAAATTTCGTATGCACCTGGTGGCTATCCTATCCTAAAGAATATTTCTTAGCCAAAGGGCTACTTTTTTTCTCCAATAAGCTTATAACCAAAGGTATTTTTGGAATCAAAACAATACAGAGTATTTCAGAATTGATTGATAAAGATGTTATCTAATTGAGTTATAACTTTTTCTGTAAAAAGAGCTGAAATACAAACCAACCTTCTCTTTGCAGAACATAGGCTCCAAACATAATTTCGTAAATCATGGTCTGCCGCTCAATCTGGCAATAAAGCCTTATCTTGCACTAAAAGGATCTGTAGCTTTTCCAGCTGAAAATGGAGTGCAGAATACTGAATCCACACAAGAAAAGAGAGAAATTGGAGATGAAGAAAACTCAGCTAAGTTTCCTATAGGAAGGAGAGATTTTGACAGTGAGTAGCTTTTTTAAAAATTCAATTCTCACAATGCTCAAGAAATGTACTCATTACCTTACTCATGTAACTGTAACCCCTCTGTACAGCATCTTTATAATAACATAAAATTTTAAATAACAAATAAAAAAATTCAGTTCTCACATCCTAATACCATAAGAAAGGACTCTGAGTTTAACCAAATTTGAATCTAATCATAACAAAATCAAATAACACCATGGTTCATTTCCACTTGATGTTAAGTGACCCTGTCAAAAATGTGGCATGAAAAAGTAGTTAGTAATCATGACTTTGGTTACTCAGAATTAGTAACAGCTAGGTAGTTTTCTTAATTTTATGTGATAATTCTAGTCTTTTATTTAAACTTTTTTTTTTTCCATTTAGTGCTCAGGTGTATGCTGGGAAGAGTCTACCGACCTTGTTGGCAAGTCTGATACCTGTTGGTCTACACTTGTCTATTCGGGAGGGAAAAATCATTTGTCAATGAGAAAAAACCCTTGACGTTACTGTAACTTGTATATTGCTTTAAATGGTTGTAAGAAAATAGTATTAACATAGATCAGTATTCTAAATGATATGCTTTCTCTGTGCATTAAACTTTGTGAAAATCCTGCATAATTTTGTCTTATGGGTATTTTTTAATAATGGTGCATATACATGAACTTTACAAATACTTCAAACAAAAACATATAACTTTGGTAAATGGTTTTATAGGAAAAAAACCTATAAATTTAAAGCACATAAAAGACAAAATCATAGTCTGAAAAACTGAGTTAACTTTGTCTGGCCAGCAATCAGTTTGTTCTTGGCAGTAAAGTTATTGCCTCCTTTTGCTGTGTGAGCTGGTTTGCTACTCAATTTATTCTGTGGCTCGTTCAATGTCTTAAGTGTTTTAAGATTTTTATGTTGAGGTAGTTCATTTCCATTATCACAGACAATATTTTCATCATCCAAGTCCACCTGCTTCCTTTTGGAGCATTTATTTCCTTCCTGACTACTTGCTTTTCTTAATATTTGGTTGTTTTTATTTCTGTCCAGTTGAGTATTTCCAGAGCTTATTTTCATTGTTGATCTTCCAATAGATGAATATATGCCCTCTGTTATGCAAAATAAAAAGGAGAAAGGAATCATATAGTATTTAGTAGTATTATGCATGATAATTTAGGACGAACTTCTCAAATGGCTAAAGATGCTCAAATATTTATGCTTTATAATAAAACAATTCCAACCAATTAAATGAATAATAAGCACAGGTGTGTTATATGAGCCTTCATTTTACCTGTTACCTCATCCCTACCAACAAATATTTGAACATATACACTTAATTCTTAAGCAAAGGCTATTATTTCTCAAATCCATCAAGCTAAATTAAACTGGCCCTTATTTCTACCCTTAAATTTTTACTTAAAGTTCTGAATAAATCTAGAACTAAAAATAGTAAGCCTTTCTTTATTTTTTAAGTACATCACAGGAATAATCTAATGTTATTAATGTTAAAAACAACTGGAAAATTTAATTAAAAAAAGAAAGAAAGACACAGAGAGTTTGAAGAAGTCCCAGCCTCCAGTGAGGAAAAGTATCCTGGGAAGATTACGTCTATAGACAATAATAGCTAAGTTGTATAATATAAAGAACATTAAAGACTATCACAAGCAGGAAAAAAACAAAAACAGAAACTGGGAGCCTAGAAAGCATGAGGCCCTAAATTCAATCTCTAATCCTGTCAACAAACAAAACCGTTGTTAGATAAGAATTAAATTGTTATTTAATTGCTCAAATAAAATTAATTACCACAAAGGTCATTTTCCTCATGAAGAACACGCAAAGGCTTTGATGCAGAATTGGCATTATTCCATTTATCCTTGCTTATCATGTAGTCATCTTTGTAAGTACAAGCAAACTGTGATCTAATTAAGGGTTGCTTCATCTGATAACAGAAACAAGACAACAGGCAATTTAGGCTTTATTTTTTCAGATATATGTACTCCGTACAGTAATCAGCGTATCATAAAAAAATTTCCTTAAAACTTCTATTATTTATGAAAACTTTGAATGTTTTATGTTTCATAATTTTCAAACTCATTCAATGCTATGGCTGTTCTTTTCAGCAATTTTAGTTTTAGGTGATCTTTGAGGATAGGTGAAGGAAGAAGAAGGTAAGTGAGGGACAGGAGGAAGAGGAGAGGGACAGAGAGGGAGGAAAAAGAGGGAAGAAAAGGGAAGTTACTTTGTAAACATTAAAAAGGGCCATGGCTCATGCCTGTAATTCTAGCTACTCAGGAGGATGAGATTTGAGGATCAAGGTCAAAGCTAGCCAGGACAGGAGAGTTTGTGAGGCTCCTCTCTAGTTAACCAAAAAAAGCCAGAAGTGGGCTGTGGCTCCAGTGGTAGAGTGCTAGCCTTGAGAACAAAAGTTCAGGGACAATACCTAGGCCCTGTGTTCAAGCCTCAGGCCCTGCACAAAAATAAATAAATAAATAAAATAAAATAAGGCTATTAAAAAATAGTGTTGAAACTAGTAAGCCAGCCAACAGACCGGGAGAAAATCTTTACCAGCATATATATACACATATACATATATATTGGTGTATATATATATATATATATATATATATACATATATATATATATATATATAAAATGGAATTATATGCTTTATCAGAAAGAATGACACCATACCATTTGTAAGGAAATGTAAAGACTTGGAAAAAATCATATTAAGTGAAGTAAGCCAGACCTAAAGAAACATAGGTCCTATGGTTTCCCTTATTTGCAATAAATAGTATACATTCTAGGATAATCTGAGCAGATGAGCAGAATAGCTCAATAGCTATGCACATATGACCATATAAGATGATGCTAAGCGAAATGAACTCCAAGACATGGACACAAGAGGTTTTTCTTTGTTGTTGCTGTTGTTTTTAATATACTATGTGATTTCTTGTTTCTTTTGTATGTTCTTCCCCTATGGCATATCCCATGTTGTCACTGTATTTGATTTCAGTACCTGGTATTGTATGTACACTTATCTAAATTAGAGAAGGGAAGGGGAACAACAGAATGGTGAGACGAAGGACAGGGGGAACCAATGCAACAGCAATATACACAAGGCAATGTGTTGGAATGATCTGTACAACTTGGGGGGGGGGAAGGGGAAGAGAAAGTAGCGAAAAATGAGGGAAGGGGTAACAAGTTTGACAAGAAATGTACTTACTACCTTACTTATGTAACTGTAACCCCTCTGTATATTGCCCTGACAATAAAAAAAAAAAGGGGCATACTGGATCAAAAAAGAAAAGAAAAGAAAGGAAAGGAAAGGAAAAGAAAGAAGGAAGGAAGGAAGGAAAAGAAAGAAAGAAAGAAAGAAAGAAAGAAAGAAAGAAAGAAAGAAAGAAAGAAAGAAAGAAAGAAAGAAAGAAAGAAAGAAAGAAAGAATCTTGCCGGGCAAGAGTGGCTCACGCCTATAATCCTAGCTACTCAGGAGGCTGAGATCTGAGGATCACAGTTCAAAACCAGCCCAGGAAGAAAAGACCATGAGACTCATCTCCAATTAACTACCAGAAAACCAAAAGCGGTGCTGTGGCACAAGTGGTAGTCTTGAGCTAAAAAGCTGAGAACAGCACCCAGGCCCAGAGTTCAAGCTCCACAACTGACAAAAAAAAAGAAAAAGAAAGAAAGAAGAAAAAAAAGACAAAGAAAATCTTTACCAGCAATACATTTGACAAAGGCCTAATAGGCAAAATATACAAGGAGCTCAAAAGTTCAACACCCACAAAAAAACTAATTAATCAATCAATAAATGGGCTAAGGAGCTTAAAAGAGACTTCTTAGAAGTAAGAATGGCAAATAGAAGAAATGATCAGCATCCCTGGTCATTAAGGAAGTGCGAACCAAAACTACTTTGAGATTCCATCTTACCCCAGTTAGAATGGACAATATTGAGAATTCAAATAAATGCTGGCAGGGGATGTGGGGAAAAGAGAACCCTATTGCACTGCTGGTAGAAATGTAAACTAGTACAACTACTCTGGATGGTGGTTGAGAGGTTCCTCAATAAACTAAACATAGAACTTCCCCATGACCCAGCCATACCACTACTCTTGGGCATCTACCCAGAACATTACAAGTCCAGATATAGTAAAGACACTAGCACATCCATAATCATTGCTACACTACTCACAATAACCAAGTTATGGAAACAGCCCAGATGTCCTATAACAGATGAGTTGATCAGTAAAATGTGGTATATATACACAATGGAATTTTACTCATCTATTAGAAAGAATAATAAGATTATATCATTTACAGGGAAATGGACCTAGAACAAATCATGCTATGAGGTAAGCCAAGCTCAGAGAGACAAATAGTACACATTTTCTTTCTTTTTCTTTTTTGTCGGCTGTGGGGCTTGAATTCTGGGCCTGGACACTGTCCCCGCACTCTTCAGCTCAAGGCGAGTGCTCTACCACTTGAACCACAGTGCCACTTTCGATTTTCTAGTGATTTATTGGAGATAAGAGTCTCACGGAGTTTCCTGCCCGGGCTGGCTTTGAACCGTGATCCTCAGATCTCTGCCTCCTGAGTAGCTAGGATTACAGGCGTAAGCCACCAGTGCCTGGCCACATTTTCTCTTATGTGTGGAAGCTATATCTAAAATATAACTGGAGATGATAACTTATACCTGTCAGAATAAAGGAGGATACCTTTAGGGAAGGAACACAAAGATGTACTTTGCTAAACATCTGAAATACTATTTATTGAAATGAATTTCAGGAATAGAAATGGGGTTTTTGTTGATGGTGGTGGTGATAGTGGTGTTTGATTTTGCTTTGGGGGATTTATTTAGTGGGACAAGAGAACTCAGAAAGAGAGGGAGGAAAGGTGAACAAATGCAGTCATGCTATTCAATATACACTAATCTGTGAAAGCTTGTGGACAGGGATGAAAGGGAGAAACAGGAAAACAGAAGGAAGTAGTGACATTGTCCAAAAAATGAAATGCACTTATTACCTGATTTATGAAATGGTAATCCCTCTATATAACACCTTAAAGATAAAAAATAAATATTTCTTAAAAGTAGTGCTGGGCTGAGAGTGCGGCTTAGTGATAGAGTGTTTGCCTAGCATATATGAAGTCTTGGGGTTGATTCCTCAGTACGACATAAACAGAAAAGGTTGGAAGTAGTGCTGTAGCTCAAGTGAGTGCCAGTAAACAAAAGAAGCTTCAGGGACAGTGCCAGTTCCTGAGTTCAAGCCCCAGGACTGGCAAAAGAAGAAAAAAAAGTAGTGTTGAAAATGTATTCTGAAAATATAAAGCCATTAAGTTGTTTAATAGGTAAGAATTAAGTAGCCTATACACCCAATGCAAGTTTCAGCCATTATAGTTGGACTGTAACCATTCAGATATAATGGGGATAATTTTCCAAGTAATTTGAAGTCACCTCAAATCCTTTTAACACTTCAAAGTATAATTATATTGTGCTGAATGTTACTTTGAATGTTTCTTAATTAAAAAATGTGAATGTCAGGTTATGTATTCAGTAATTACACATTATTTTCACTCATTGCATATTACATAAGACACAATAAACACAATGAGAAAAATACAAATTTTTCATCCTAAGAAAAAACAGAACTGGGGATTTTTAATGGATTATGAACTTCAATGAAGCCAACAGGATAATGTGTAGGCAACAAAACAACACAAGAAGACAGACAAGATGATATGAAGGGAAAAACACCAGATTTTCAGTACAAAGACCTGGTTTCTAGCACTATCTGTATTATCTAGCAACTCGATTATCTACCTTTTACTATCCATACATAAATATATAAAGTAAAAAAACAATATAATCAGGCTTTATAAATTCTCAAGATATAATGTGGTCACTCTATAGTTATTAGTGTAATAACTTACACAAGTGGGTATTCTTACAAAATGTAATGTGTCATATTACATGTTTCAGGACTAGGTTAATTTCAAAATAATTCCAGGAATGCAGTTCAGACAATGAACTTTTAATCAGGTCCTTCATTTTAATCATTAATACAATGTGTACACTGCCTTGTATTTATAACTTAAAAGAGACTGCTTTTCCTTTGTTCATAAAAGTTGAATTTTCTGTTCAAGATTAGTGGCTACATAAAATTGAGATTACTTCCTGTTGCAATTTTTCCAAATCTTACTGTGTATTTGATTTGGAATCACAAATAAGCAAAAACAATTCCCTCTTGAAAGTGCTTTTGAAGTAACTAAGAATAATGTCCAGATTCATACATGGCTGTTAAAATCATTTTATGTTCAAATCACATGTGAGAGATAGATTAAAAGTTTTCCTTTGTACAGTGATTTCCCCCCTTTGGAAAGATTTCTATCCACAGTAAAATTGCAATGAACTTCAAACTTGCCAAGAATTGGAAAAGTCCTTTTGCCACAAGCTGTTATTAAATTGAAATTATTAGTAGGTTCCCAGTTTGAGGAAAATAGTACTTCACACAGGAAAGCCTGACTCCAGTGAAATTAAGATGAATGAGTCAAAACATTGAAAAGTCACAGACACTTTTAGTTGGCTCTATTGAAAAAAAGAACATTCTAAGCCTGCTTTATTCTAATAAATACATTAATAAGTTTGAAAAAGGAAAATTACCCCCAACTTATTAACCTGTCTCACTCTTACATTATCAAATGTTGAAAAGAGCAGAGGTTTAGTATCTTTAATGGTGTAAGAATTGATGCATATATAAAACCATCCATATCTTTATCCATGAAATTCTATTTATTTTACTAAATAGCAGAAAAAAATATTTAACTTAAGTAGTATCACTATAATTTTATGATTACTTCATTACAGTTACTATACTTTTATTTACTTTTGCAGGTAGCTTAAACTTTAAAGTCAGGCTTCTTATATAAACTCTATAATCCTGACAACAAATGCCTTCAAGTGTTGAACAAGGATTAATGAGGATAAATATAAAATGTATAGTATACATACTTGATACTTAGTAGATTCAAAAATTCCAACTATCTTACTTCAGCAAAAATTAATTTAATTTTAGTTGTCTATAAAAGAGAATCTGCTTACTTCCTGAAAAAATGAGACAAGTCTTTGCTTAATGTCCCCTTCTCAAAGAGATTTCTATTTAACATCCTATTTTAAATCAAAAGAACTGGGGTTATGGCTCACATGGGAGAGCACCTAACAAGTACAAGACTCCGAGTTCAAATCCCAGTAACACCAAAAAGAAAAGTATCAGAATACATGCAAGGAATATATTCACCTTAGACCCTTCCCTCACCTTTGTCTCCACAGCACTTATAACCTTGGAAGATACCATAAAATCCACTTGTTTGTGATGATTGTCTACTCCCAACTAAACCCAAGCTCCATAAATTGTAAAATTCCTAAGAGTTTGGCAATGGTGGCTCACTCTGGCTACCCCATTAACAGGGTGAGAAGTTCAAAGGCCTCAGATATGCCTACCAAAAGACCACGACTCCCACCCCCTTAGGTTTTGCTCAAGGTTTCTGAATCCCTGGGCACTGATGCTGGACTCTTGGTCTAGGCCCAGAGGCTTTATATGGAAAGTGGTATGGGGATGGGTTATACATGCCACTGGATGGAGTGAATTAATGAAGTAAATCAATAACAGTATAACAAGTATATGCCAGGGGGAAAAAAAGCTATAAAGGACAGAAAACATGAGTAAACAAAAACTTATAAGTCAAAAGTGATATGCAGAAAGATATATCTCTTTAACAGAGGGTAGAAACACCACATGATACACATGGTTAACTCATTCATCTTTTGGGTCTCACCTCTCCTTTAGGTATGTTGGTCTTCCTCAGCTTTCAATCAAAATCTTGGGGGAAATCTCTAATGCCTTCGTCAGGGTCAATCTGTTTGTCTCAATGTTTTGTGCAAGGTGCTCTTTGACCTCCATGACACTTCATTTTCCAAATGTGGCAAATATACATACTATGGTTTGAAGTCTGGGAACTGCACTTGCTAAACAGATGCTCTTATTACTGTGGCTCTAGCCTTGATTTTTGTGGATGTTTTTGAGATTGGGTCTTGCCTTCTTTCCATACATTCTTTCCTTCATGGAAAGAAGGCAAGACCCAATCCAGTCCTGTACCTCAATCCCAATGATCTCAGCTTCCCAAGTAGCTAGATCTGTAGGTGTGAATCACGGTGGCAGTATCTTTAAAAAGGAAGCCAGTCCTGTTTTTGAAGCAAGTCCAACTCTCAAATAGATCTTTGTCTTTTAAACACCACTATAAAGAGGTTCAGTTCCTTCCAAACAGTTTTTAAAAAAATTCAGGCTACATTTACTTGGCACTGCTATTTAGGCACCTTGAAATATGGAAACAGTTGCCAATCTCTCAGAAGACCCAAAAGCTTTGTTGGTTTCTCTGTCAGTAGAGTTCCTTTATGTGGGCCCATGTCAATCCTCAGCTTATATCCAAGGCTGGCAAATACTGGCAAATGGCCAACAATGGACTATTCCTCTCAGAAGGACTCCACCCTCTCCAGATTTTTTAGCTTATTTACACCTCTCTTCTCCCATAGGCCTGCTAGGTCTTTAAACTTCTGCTTTTTTCCTCAATTATATCTGTCTTTTATTATTTTGTCATCACAAAATGGTATTTGACAATGATCTATTACATCCTAGTTAGACAGAAATCTCCAAGGTTGGATAGATAAGATAGAATACTGAAGTCTATCTTATTTTCTTCCTCGAGTGACACTTTGGAAGGTGCTTCGTTTTTCTGTAGCCTTAGGAATGATGAAGATTGGAGTAGAGCTTATATGGGGATTGAGCAGTCTAAAAAAGTTCCTGGGTGATGCATTCCCTTCTGGGAATTTACTGTGTATTTTATATACATATATAAATACTGTAAGAAGATTGATGATAAGGCCAGGTACCAGTGGCTCATACCTGTAATCCTGATACTCAGGAGCCTGAGATCTTAGGGTTCAAAGCCAGCCAGGGCAATAAGTCCATGAGACTCTTATCTACAATAAACTGCCCTAAAGCCAGAAGTAGAACTGTAGCTCCAATGGTAGAGCGCTAGCCTTAAGCAAAGAGAAGCTCAGGGACAGTGACCCAGACCTGAGTTCAAGCCCAAGGTCTGATACAAAAACAAAGACAAAGAAGGTTGATACCATATTGTTAGACCGTAGCATTCAAATTGAAGTAGACTATTGGATAATTTCTCCAATTTGGTGTGTGGCACTCCTCTCAATGTGTAAATTCTAGAGTTCATTTTTGACATTACTATCCAGTTGCTACTTCTAGACTTTTCTCTTTAATAAGAAAAAAAAGTAAGAACCCACATTTTGTTCTCCTGTGACTTTGAAAATATTAGCTGTTCTCAATTCTACTAACTCACTAGTACTTTAACAGTGGACAAGAACTAGATTAGGTTTCTAAGTTATGATGTGAAATCTTCAGCTTCTTTCCTTTGCTGTCATTTTTGAAGTTCATTGCATTAGATTACATTATTCAAAACACTCTTAATGATTATTTTGGTTAATTTTTATTTTCTCACATTTATGTGTATGTGTGTGTGTGTGCTGATCCTGGGGCTTGAACTCAGGGCCTGAGCATTGTCCCTGAGCTTTTTTGCTTAAGATTAGTGCTCTATCACTTGAGAAACAATACCACTTCCAACTTTTTGGTGGTTAATTGGAGCTAAGACTACCCAGGCTGGCTTCAAACCTCAATCTTCAGACACCAGCCTCCTTCTAAGCAGCTAGGATTACAGGCATGAGCAATCAATGCCAGCTCCAGCCCAGTTTTTTGCCAGTTTTTATGGAAATGGAGTCTCAAAGATTTTTTTTTTTTTTTTGGTCCTTTTTTACTTTGGCTTTAAATCACGATCCTCTGGATCTCAGCCTCCTTTGTAGCTAGAATTTTAACTGTGAATCATCGGCATCCTATAATTTTATCAGTTTTATTCAGGGTGGGGGAATGTTTGGAGATTAAGAATACACAGGCATTTACAGCAACCAATAACGAAAGAAAGTCGATACTTACCAATAAATCAACTGCGAGAGCTTGCAGTATATAGAATAAACAGGTTGTAACTAAAAGCTTTGCTAAGCAAAACCAAATTTCCAAAGAGGAAAACAAATAGGAAAAAAATTACTGCTTTCCTTTTTGTTGATTTAGGACAAGTAATTGTTTGAAGTAATTGTTTGATAATTATGTTTTATGCAAGTATTTTAACAAATTAATGACTCCTAAGATACATGATCCCCCGCCCCCCCCTCAAGTATTTTAACAAATTAATGACTCCTAAGATACATGATCCCCCGCCCCCCCTCCCCCCCCCACCCCCCCACACCCCCCCCCCCCGTGTCGGTCATGAGGCTTGAACTCTGAGCCTTGGCACTATCCCTCAGCTTGAGCTTGTCCTCTACCACTTGAGCCACAGTGCTACTTCCCATTTTCTAGTGGTTTACTGGAGATGAGTCTCACAAACTTTCCTGGCCGGGCTGGCTTTGAACTATCCGTGATCCTCAGATCTTAGCCTCCTTAGTAGATAGGATTACAGGTGTGAGCCACCGGTGCCCGACCCTACATACATCTTATACTATATATCTAACAAATAGTAAAAACTCAATATAATATACATTCTTTCAAAACTTCAGACCAAGAAATTTTTAAATGGTTAAAGAAATATTATTATCAACTATTTATAGGCACAAATATTTCATTTAAGAATAGGAAAACTTACTTCAGACTAAATGAAAAGTCATTAAAAGATCATTAGACTGTATGTCCTTAAGAGAGCTAGTAGAACCTTAGTTCTTTCTTCTCTGTTTCAATCCATGACCATGAGCTGAACAGTTTAGTTCTGCTGCATGTTTCCTGACATTGTATCTGTCACCTATATCATAGGCCCAAAGGCAAGCAACAGGGCCAACCGATCATGAAAGTGCAACAAAATAAGACTTACAAGTAGATTATCCCAGTATTTGTTATAGTGATAGAAATAGTGGGACAAAGGATGAACCAATTCAGCAGTGATACTTACCAGAAACTATGTTGGAAATGAATTATACAACTTGGGGGGGAAGGAGGGTCAGCAGGGGAAAAAGTAGGAGAAAACGAGGGAGGGGATAACACTGTTCATAAAGAAATATACTCATTACTTGACTTATATAACTGTAACCCCTCTGTACATCACCTTTACAATAAAATTTAAATTAAAAAAAATCATAGTCTCCATTTCAGTACTAGAAACAAAAATAAGAAGGCCATGTTCTCTTAATTTTCCCTCTCACTCATTCAGCAGATATTTATTCAACATTTACAATAGAAAAGTGATTTCTTTTCTTCTTTTAGATCCAACGGATGAAGTAGCCAGAAACACATCAATCAAGATTATATAAAAGGAAAGCTTTTGTATGCCAACTGTCATTACTCATTTTCCATCTCATTCTTATTGTGTAAATATGCACTGTATAATAGCCAACACAGATTTATATTTATATGCTTACTTCTTCTAAAAAACAAAACAATGTTTATTATTTTTATGACAGTGAATTAAATTGTACCTTAATTCTTTCTTCTTGCATTGACTTATGGATGCGTTCTCTTAGGGGTTTCATGGATGAATTAACCTTCACTTGTGTGGGAGATCTATGTAAAAAAAAAAAACTTGTTATGATTTGAATATTTGTGTCTCTCCAAAATGTATGTTAACATTTAATCCCAAGGCAATATTAAGGAATGGGGACTTTAAAGACTAAATCTCCATGAATGCAATTAATGTCCTTAAAAAAGGCTTGAGGGAGCATATTTGGCTTTTTCTCCTTCCTTATTTTCTTTCATATGGGGTAACAAGAAGGCATCAACTGTGAAGAACAAGCCCTCACCTATGAATAACAATGAGTCTACTTGGTCTCAGACTTGGAGAAAAAACCTTACTTGTTAACTCAAGCACTTTTGGAAATCATATTTATTATCTCTTTCACATGTCTAACTCTTCACTTACTAAGTGAGAATACTATCAAAAGGCGTTGTTAAGAGAACTCAGATGAGTGAAAACATTTAGAGTATGTGACCAAAATATGTATGTGAAGCAAGTACATATTTTCTCAAATCAAAAGACAAGGATAAAAACAAGATTGAAACCCAAACAACTGCCATATCCTCACAAGAGACTACTTTTTCATCTATATTGCATTCTTGCATGTCAAGTTCCATCTCCCTTTAAGTAAGTTTTGTAGTTCAAAAGTTTCCTATCCTAAGTATATACTGCTTTTAAAATCAATGATGAGGGAAAGGAGAGAATATAGTAATAAAATTCAGCGTATATCCAATGAATCTGGGAAAACTGACGGGAGATTGAGTTGGGAGGAATGGGGGGAAATTAAAAGGGTGATATCAAGATGCATTACACTTATAATTTGTACATCATACTTATGATTTGTTGAATGGTAACCCTTTGCACACCCACTTAAACATGATAAAAATATGTCTAAACAAATCAATGAGGTCTTTTTTTTCCCCAATGATTCTCTACAGTTAACATCTATACACATATAACTTCCACATTACGTACCTAAAAAGTGTAAGAATAGAAGTTCCACTGTGATAAATTGTATTTTCATCATCATATAAGAGCTCTGCTTTGTTACTAGTAGGAGCACTGGCTGCTTCTTCATCCAAAAGAACTAACAAAGTTTTCACGGTATCTCTACCACTGTATGCAGTACCATGGTTTATGGCATATGATTTTGGCTAAAACAAAAAGCAATTTTCAGTAAATGTACTATATCACCTTGCCTAGAAAAATCAGCCACACCTTTCCATTTCATGTGCCTTTTTTCCTTCCTCTGTTGCTGAAGAAGCAGAAAATCCGCTATTTTTTTCTTCCATCAACCTTACCGTTTTCAGATGCACAAAAACCAGTATCATCCAAGGAAGACATTAGGTTCTTGTCAAAATAACATTAGCAGTTGAGTCACTATCTAGCACTTTCTGGCTATGTGATCTCATTCACATGACTCAATCTTTCTGTGTATTTGTTTTCTCATATAGCAAATGGAGATGGGGTTTGGATAATCTGATTATTAACCCCATAGATGATTCATAAAATCTAATCAAATGCAAAAATGAAAAACTGATTTTTAGTCATTCAATGATTGGTTAGTACATTCCACGTCCCAACCACTATGTTTGAAGCTCAAGCTACAAAGGCAAAGAGAAGAGCACTGCCTTTGAAGAGCCCACAGTCTTCTTGAAGAATAAGTTAAAAATGCCATTGCAATAAGCTAAGTGATATTGCTAATAAGTTTACACAGGTGCAGTGGGGGTCCCAAAAAGGAATGAACAGTGTACTGTGAAATCAAGGAAGGCCACAGGGTGGAGATAACACTGAGGCAGGAAGGCAATGTGTCAGAATAAATGGTAAAAGGGAGGAAGTGATGTGAGATGATCCTGAAAAAGCTTTGTGTATCAAATAAAAAGGTTGTAAATCCATCTGTTACAAAGGTTAAAAATCTCTTGCTTTATGAAGTAAGTACAATAAAGCTACTTAGGTTTTAGAAAAGTCAATGATGGCAATGTATGAAATATATTTCAGGGTTAGAACATTAACACATGCAAAGACAGGGCTGTAACAAATTTTAAAACTGCAATGGACTACTTTAAAAATGAAAAGGTTTCAACTAGGATAGAGATAAATCAGATTTAAAGGGAGTGCTGTATATTACACATAGATACATGTATACACAAACTCTCAGGAAATTCTGCTAGGCTTAATAATAACTTACTAACTAATCAGTAGACAGATAGATATAGACAGAGAAACAGACGGATGGACAGACAGATAGCTAAATATAGGGAAATGCTTAAGATAAACCCAATAGCAAAACTGAGTGGTAATGACAGTGCCTTATCCACAGGTTAAATGAACACTGTGCCTAGATACTGAAGCTGCATTTTTCTGGACCCTCTATTGTAGATTCCTCAGCTTTTTTTTTTTTTTTTTTTTTGGTCATTCGTGGGGCCTGAACTCTAGGCCTAGGTGCTGTCCCTCAGCTCTTCAGCTCAAGACAGGTGCTCTACCACTTGAGCCACAGTGGTACTTCCGGCTTTTGCTGCTTATATGGTGCTAAGGAATCGAACCCAGGGCTTCATGCATGCAAGGCAAGCACTCTACCACTGAGCCACCTTCCCAACCTGATTCCTCAGCTTTTATTAACATGGTCCTGGCCTCCTTTCTCTATCTGGCAGACTCTGACCACCAGGTAAACTATAATGTAATCACTTAGCACTAACTGCCTATCATAATCTGGTATACCTAACACCTAGCTTTCATTAGTACCAGAGAGATTCACATTGTTGAATACTAACTCCGTTGAGCATCATTTGAAGGTTTTTCAAGATTGTTTATTTGGTAGAAAACATAAGCAGGAAGAAACAGGTGGTTTGTATCTTTATTTCTTCTGCTAGAAAATGTAAGAGACTGCATTTCCTGATTCATACAGTAATAATCTGGTTGTCATTTAAGCCAAGCTAGTAGTCACAGAAATAAGAACATACATGAAATAAATGGGATAAAATTCAAAAATCCCCATCCAAACCACAGCTTTAAATCACCACTAAAAACATACATTTTTGCCAGGTGCCAGTGGCTCATGCCTATTATTCTATATACTCAGGAGGCTGAGATCTGAGGATCATGGTTCAAAGCCAGCCGGGTTCAAAGCCAATCCAGGTAGGAAAGTCCCTGAGTCTCTTATCACCAATTAATCACAGAAAAAGCTGGAAGTGGCCCTGTGGTTCAAGTGGTAGAGTGCTAACCTTGAGCAAAAGTGGCTCAGAGCCTCTGTCCAGAGTTCAAGCCCCAGGACCAGCAAATAAATAAATAAACATGCATTTTTATTTAAAAATAAAATGTAGCTAAAAATGATCATGAAGGACTGTGAATGAATTAATAAAAAGCAAAAATATTTCTTCATACACTGTCTATCATAATGACACCTAGCTAAAAGGATTTTTTATTAATTGAAGAAACTGCAAAAAAAATAGACTGATGCATATCATAAACTTCTGTTCAGAAGCTAATAAAGTCATGGTAGTGGATTTCTCCGTAATGCTTTAAATCTATTAATTTGACTATCTATGGAAGGAAAGCAAGAAAGAAACATACAGTGAAAGGACTGACAAGTATGAGAAAAACTGGACTGTAAGAGTCCGGGAATGGAAGGAGCAGTTATAGAGTTCAACAAAAGAAAAGTAAACTGCTGAATGGAAATGATGTCTAACAGGGCTACTGTTGTTCTATATTCCTACTTATTGAGAAGCAGCCCAAAACACTTTATTATCCACTAAGAATTCAAAAGTGTTTGGTGTTTAAAAGTGATGCTGGAGATTATATGATGATTTTTGTTAACAAAAACAAACAATTTCACACAAAGATGGATGGTCTGACTTATCAAAGTTGAACATAATCCCTATTGAGAAAATTAAATTTTCAATATCATCTTAGAACACAGGAAACATATTCTCCTGACTTCAGTAGCAACCACAAACCATTTCTAAAATAAACAGAAGAGACAATGCTTTACACAGAAGGACAAAGAAGAGCAAAAAGCTAATTACCCGAGCAGGACTGATGTCTGAGGTGCTAACAGCAACACCGCTTTGTTGAGAACTGATAATATTTTTAATCCTTAAGTCCAATTCCTCAACAACTTCCTCAACTGCTTTACAGAAAGGATTCCCACTGCTCAGGCCTTTAATCAGCTTCATCTTTATCACTGATAGTATCTGACCCCCTGCAATGCTGAAAACAGAAATGAGATTTACTTTGCTGCAAAATGATAATACCCATGACCTTGAAAGCATAATTCTCAGTGTTAATCAACACCTTTCAAAGACTCAAGCTTTGATCTTGCAAATTGAATAGTAAAAGATGGAAACTCTTAGAAATAAAAAGTTTGAAGTTTTTCTAAAAATGTATCATTTTAATAAATTATTTCTTTCTTGATTTCTTGACATTTTTTTTTTTCCTGAGACAGGGTCTCACTGTATAGCCCAAACTGGCCTTAAATTTGTGATCCTTCTATGTTGCTTCCCAAGTGCTGGAATCAGAAGTATTCCACCATGCCTACATTCTTTTTGATTTGAAACATAAAAGGAATAATTTAGTTACATATGAAATAAGTAATAGATCAGATCTGGTTATACACTTAAAATATGTATCATTAACCTTTAAACAGTACAAAGATTAAAAACAAACAGAAAAATCCCCATTGAATACTGAGAATGTTAATTCACCTTAGAACCAATTCAATAAATTATTATTACCTCTAAATCACGGACAAGAGTCTCATAAAGGTTAAATAGGTTGACCTAAAATACATGCTGTTCTGGGCTAGGGAAAAGAGGAGAAAGAAGGTGACTCATTTGAAATACTTATCCTTACTGAAGTGTATTACATTAAGGGTTATTTATATGAAAAAAGAAATTAAGCAAGTGAGTACTAACACAAAGGATACCAAAGACTGGACCAACTATATCCAATAGACAAAAGTTTTTAGAAAGTTAATGCCTCTTTAAATCTGGTCTGAAATCGAAAACATTGGGTTACCAAGCCCCAGGATTGGCCTGGGACCAATGGAAGAAATATACAGGAGGAACGATCTTGGCTCATTCTAAGGAAGAAATTAGAGGTATTTGACAAGAGAAGAGGACTTTCTTTAGAAGTCATGAGATGCCATCCCTTCAGGTTTCCTTGAGTGCTGAACAGCACTCAATGAGAACAAGGTATGACCTGATATAATTTGCTACTAGAACCAATCATTAGCTCATCTAATAACTGCTATCATCTGCTTGTCAAGACATCATCTCAGAAAAATACTTGGCATGGTATACTCCAGTGATCCAAGATTCTATGGGAAAAATAAATAGGAGGACAGTGTTCCAGACAGATGGGACAGACAGGCCAAAAAGGAAAAACACTATCTCAAAAAATAACAAAACCCGATGGAATAGGAGAAACCCTAGGTCTCCTTGGCACCGGCTGAAATTTTCTTAATAGAGATCCAGAAACACAACAAATCAAAGAAAGGTGGGACAAATGGGATTGCATGAAATTGCAGAGCTTCTGCATGGCAAAGGGACATAGCTCGCAAGATCAATAGAAAGCCAAAGGATTGGGAAATCTTCACTAGCCATACAACAGACAAAGGTCTCATATCTAAAATATAACTGGAACTTAAAAAATTAAATCCCCCAAAAACAAATCTCCAAAGAAACAACTGCCCAATAAATAAGTGGGCTAAAGACTTAAAGAGAAACTTCTCTGAAGAGGAAAGAAGGATGGCCAATAGACACATGAAGAAATGCTCAACTTTGGGCTGAGAAGCTGGCTCAGTGGTAGAGCTCTTGCCTTGCATGCAAGAGGCTCTGGGTTCAATTCCTCAGCACCACATAAGCAGAAAAAAAAGCTAGAAGTGGCACTGTGGCTCAAAGTGGTAGAGCGCTAGCCTTGAGGTGAAGAGCTGAGGGACAGTGCCCAGGCCCAGAGTTCAGGTCCACAACCAGACCCCCCCACCCCCCAAAAAAGAAATGCTCAACCTCTCTAGCCATAAAAGAAATGCAAATCAAAACAACACTGAGATACCACCTTACCCCAGTTAGAATGGTTATAATCTAGAACTCTAATAACAACAGGTGCTGGAGGGGATGTAGACAGAAGGGAATCTTACTGCATTGTTGGTGGGAGTGTAAACTGGTTCAACCACTTTGGAAAGCAGTATGGAGGTTCCTCAAAAGACTCCACATAGAGCTCCCCTATGACTCAGCAATCTCACTTTTGGGCATTTACCCAAATGATCATAAACAAGACCACACTAAAAGCTACCAGCACGACTATGTTTATTGCAGCATTATTTACCATAGCAAAGATATGGAACCAACCCAGATGCCCCTCAGTAGATGAATGGATCAAGAAAATGTAGTATATATACACAATGGAATTCTATGCCTCCATCAGAAAGAATGACATTGCCCCATTTGTTAGGAAATGGAAAGACTTGGAAAAAATTATATTAAGTGAAGTAAGCCACGCCCAAAGAAACATAGGTCCCATGGTTTCCCTTATTTGCAATAAGTAGTATATGTCTGAGTCAAGCAGAAAAGGTCAGATAAGTTGATGTTAGGGGACTGAACCCCAGGATAAGTATTCAAATGTTTTTTTTTTGTTTTTTTTTCCCTTTCATGCAATTGTTTCTAACATATTTATAAGATGATTTTTTTGTTGTTTTGTATGTCCCTCCCCCACAGTATAACCATGCTTTCACTGTATTTGATGTTGGTATAATTTGTGGAGGGGAAGGGAAAAAAACAAATCGTTTAACTAGGGATACAGGTGGACCCATTGCAACAATGAGATGTATAAGTCATTATGTCGAAAAATGAACTTTACAACTTTGATGGGGGGTGGAAGGAGGATCAAGTGGGAGGGGAGAGGGAGTATGGGAAGGGATGGGAAGGGGAAACAAAAAGGAGGATAAGAAATGTACTCATTATCTTTCCCATGTAATTGTAACTCCTCTGTACAGTATTCTTACAATTTAAAAAAAAAAAAAAACAAAGAAGGCTTGGGGTATGGCTTAAGACCCTACTTAGCAAGTATATACCTTGCTATGCACCTGCCTCAGCAAGCCCTAAATTCCAACCCTAGTATCTTAAAGGGGTAAGAAATAATTTAATGTAGTTGCTTGTTCTCAATTAAATGACTAGTTTTTCTATACCAAATTAAGAATTTGGTAACCATTTGCCAAAATAAATTTTAAAACAAATTTTTTGAGTTATGAAAACTTAAATGTAATTAACCATGCTGCATAAAGTGCATCAAAGAGCATAAATAATACAAGTCTTTAAAGACTAAATAGAAGCCCAACAAAATAAGTACCAGGAAATGGGTACTTGTAAGAGAGGAGTGAGGGATCAAGGGGTGAGAGAAGAATGAAGGAGAGAAGAGAATGTAGGCAAGAATTCATTGCATATGCCACAGAATTGAGAAATATAAGGGATGGGTGGGTCAAAGGGGGTTGAATATGTTGAAGTGATAACGCAGCTCAAGAAGCATTGTACCCACAAACTGCTTTGTTAAATGACAAAAAATCAAATACATAACCTAAAGTTAAGATAAACAGGGGAAGGGATGGGTTGGGAGATGTGGGTTAGAATACATCGATCAACATGCACTGTATTCATAAACTGTGTTGGAGAATGGCAAAGCCTTTGTACAACTACTTTAAGATAATAAACATTTTCAAAATAAATAAGAACCAAAAATGTTCCTAAAGTATTTTAAATAAGAAAAACTTTAACATTAGAGTACACTGAAGATTTTCAACCAGATTTAACATTCTATAAATATGTACTTAATCCAACATATATGCAGGTACTTACTAAGGAACTGAAATACAGCATTTTAAACTTCTGAACAAAGGAACCAACTAATTCATATAACATGAAACCTCTAATTAAAAATATTTTTAAGGTTAAAGCTCCAATATAGCATACATTCCATGGTGGAAAGTGTAGACATGCAGCCAACCTAACTAAGATGGCCTCATGAAAAGCTGGCCATGGTAGAGTTGTTAATTTCTTTTTTCTGTTGTTATTTTCATTCTTTCCTATCTGCCTATCCCATTCTTCCTTGGCCTTACAAGGTATTACAATTCCTGTTATTTGGTAAGTAGCACTAACTTACCTGCAGATGCAAGAGTTAATACACTTGAAAAAGTGTGAGCAAATGTAGTCATTATATTCAATGTACATTTTGTAAAAAATTGTACTATGAAACTTGAAGAATGACACTGACCAGTAAGCACTGTACTCATAACCTGACTTATGGAATTGTAACCCCTTTGTACAATCACATGATTAATAATAATAATAATAATAGTATATTTTTCCCTCTAGTTGTAAGGCTGAGGGACAATGAGGATCACGAGGCCAAAGCAAGAAAAAGAGAGGGCTTAGACTGTATACAAGAGAGTATAAGGTACTGAGATCCCTGAAGTGTTATTCTGTACCTAATAAAATGCAGCATCAACCTTCCCTATCTCAAATCCCAGATTACTGCCAGACAGATCTATAGCTTTCAGAAATGAAAGGATGAAAAGATTTTTTTTTGAAAGCCACAAAGAAAAGACCGATAGTTACTGGCATTTGAAGAGTAGTGCCCAACAAAAAAGATAATTGGACATCATCATGATGTAAGTAAGCCCACTGACCAAAGCTGCTACTCAGCTTTCTAGGGCCTCACTCCTAAACCTGAAAAAGCAGTGAAGAATCACCATTCATGCTAGGAATGCTTGTAACAGAAAAAAAGGCAGAACAAAACTAACTAAAAGGGGCTGGGAAGGTGACTCAGTGGTAGAGCGCTTGCCTTGCATGCATGAGGCCCTGGGTTCGATTCCCCAGTACCACATAAGTAGAAAAAAAAAAAGCCAGAAGTGGCGTTGTGGCTCAAGTGGTAGAGTGCTAGCCTTGAGCTGAAGAGCTGAGGGATAGCGCCCAGGCCCAGAGTTCAGGCCCCACGACCGGACCAAAAAAAAAAACTAACTAAAACAAACAAACAAAAAACATCTAGATAAACTCTGTCAAGGTACAAATATTTCAAATTACATATGATGAATAGTGTTACAGAAATAAATAAGGCATACTATTAGATCATGTACACTCAAGTGTGAGAACAGAATTAAAGATATTTGGCTTCTATTTGCTATTACTCAGAAAGCTACTAGAACAAAATAAAGGGGTGCCAGTTAAAAGTAAAGCCAAGAAACAAAGCATAGGCAAAGAAAACTGGCAAAGTGATGAGAAAGTTTCATGGTTATCAGTCTGACCAGGGCCCAAGAAGCAAAAGGTATGAAGTAAATAAAGACAGGTGTCCTCCAGAATTGCCCTTAAGGGTGATAGGCAACCTGGAAGATGGCCCAGTATTAATAAGAAATTTTTCGTCCCATTGTCAAGCTTGAAAATGAGAAAATGAAAAACATATAGAAAACAAAGTAAAAGGGAAATTTTTATTTTCTAACTTGAGAAACTAAATTTATACAAGAAAGTACAACTGTAATAAGCATAGTGTCTAGCTATAGCTAATATTTATAGTCATAATTTAAATTCTAAAGTATTATTAAACAAAATATTACTAAGCATAAAGTACTGTTAAACATAATGGGAGCAGAGGAGTGAATGGAATGGAGAATGAGTTATAAATCCTCATATTCCAAGAGAGGAAGTTACCAGGTAACATCCAGAATTGAAAAAAACTCATAAAGCTGCATACAAATTTCATCGTAGTGGAGATAAATATATACACACTATAAAACAGTTAAAGTAAATTCATCTGAGGAAAACTTCTAATTATAAATGTATAGTGCCATTTGATTTTAAATATCTATCTATATCTATCTGTGTATCTATATATACAGTTTTAGAAAATATGTTTGAAATTTTAGTTATCTGTTATTTCAGAAGAAATGGCTCATCAATATATTACCTGAGAGTTTAGAAAATGTCAGTGATTTTTGTTTACAAGTCATTTTCAAAACACTCTTCCAAATTAACTTCATCATAGATATCCACACAAGAAGATAGGGTGTAATTCAGAATAAAATCGTGCAATGACAAATTATTACTAGAGTCTTAAAATAACAAAAAGCCTTGTAGAATAAGATAAATGAATAGGCTTCAGAAGTGACTGAGATCAGGGGCCAGTTCTGTTACTTAGTAACACATACCTTGGTCAAAGGAATTCCGTTTCTGGTCTTTAAACTGGGAGTACTAATGGTCCCTATCATGTAAGTTTGTTAAAATGTCTCAATGATGAACTGGGAATGTGGCTTAGGGGTAGAGTGCTTGCCTAGCATGCACAAAGCCATGGGTTTGAATCCTCAGTACCAAATAAACAGAAAAAGCCAGAAGTGGCACTGTGGCACAAGTGGTAGAGTGCTAGCCTAGAGCAAAGAAAGAAGCTCAAGGATAGTATCCAGGCCCTGAGTTCAAGCCCCAGGACTGGCAAAAAAAAAACAAAAAAAGACTCAATGAAAATCCACATAAAGAAGCCAGGCACTGGTGACTCATGCCTGTAATCCTAGCTGAATAGCTGAGGAGGAGGCTAAGATCTGAGGATCATGGTTCAAAGCCAGCCTGGACAGAAAGTCTGTGAGACTCTTATCTCCAATAAACCACCAGAAAAGTGGAAATTACACTGTGGCTCAAAGTGGTAGATCACTAGCCTTGAGCATAAGAGCTAGGGGACAGTGCCCAAGTTCCAAGTTCAAGCCCCACAAAAGCCAACAAAAAGAAAAAAGAAAGAGAAAGAGAAAGAAAATGAAGAGTAACTAGTAGAAAATAGAGGATTCATTATACCTTTTTCAATTGTCCTACACACACACACACACACACACATATATATATAATTTCCTTTAGTTTATTCCCTTGCCACTGCCCCAGATCTCTGTAAACCCCTATCCTATATATGTCTATCTGATTTGGGGAGGCGAAGGAGAAGCACAGAAACAGTGGGACAAATGGTGAACCAATTCAACAATGACACTCACCAGACACTATGCTGGAAATAAACCATACAACTTGGGAAGAAGGGGGTTCAGGAGGGGGAAAACGAAGGAAGGGATGACACTGCTCAAAAAGAAATACACATATTGCCCAACTCATGCAACTGCAACCCCCATCACCCTCACAACAAAATCCAAGAGGGAGAGAGAAAGAGAAACGTCAGTTACCTGTGAAAGTGGGTTTCCTTTCTGTTTTCGAGTGTCAATAATATCAGCAAGAGAGTGATGGGAAATAATGAAGTAATCTCATTTCCGCTGTAATCCCATGTTTACATATAAACATGGTCTTAGAGACCATGAGGAGGACCTCTGTCTTGTCTCCTAGACTCTGAATTGAATTTGGCCTCCTATAAATCAGTTATGTCAAAACATAGGTCCCAGGGTCTCCTTTATTTGCAATAACTAGTATGTATCTAGACAAGCAGAAAAGGTCAAAATCTATGTACATATGACCATATGAGATGATGCTAAGTGAAATATTAGCCCAAGATAGGGACACAAGAGGTTTTATCTTTGTTGCTGTTCTTTTTAATGTACTGTGTGATTTTTTTTTTGTTTCTTTTGTATGTTCTTCCCCCATGCTATAACCCGTTTTCACTGTATTTGAATCCGATGCCCTGAATCTTGTATATACATTTTTCTAATTTGGGGAGGAGAAGGGAAATAACAAAATGCTGAAATAAGGATATATGTTGATCCACTGTAGCAATGAGATATATAAGATACTATGTTGAAAACAAATTTTACAACTTGGGGGTTGTGGGGAGGGAGAAGTTGGAGAGGAGGGGAGGGAAGGGATGGTAAGGAAAAAACAAAGGATTGGGTAACAATGCTCCACAGTAAATGTACTCATTACCTTACTCATGTAACTGTAACCTCTCTGTACAGTATCCTTACAATAAAAATATATTTACAAAAATTAATGTTTTCTCATTCCCTGCACACCTTTTTAGGTTATCTCTATATAACTTCGAATTGTGAGTTTTGCCTTTGAACCATGGTGCAACTCTTCTCAATCACTTACACTCCCAGACTCAAAATCATTCTTGGTATCAGTTTCATTAGTAAATGAAAGGTTAAATGAAAATAATCTATTCAGTTTCCAGTTGTCAAAAATGTTTCTTCTAAATAAAGGTAAGGAGTACCCTCACTCTTAATCAAGTTTGGTTTGCATATGCCTTTAAATTTCAGCAAAAACTTTAGAATAATGAAATAGAAATTTAAGGAGGAAGTCTATGGAATTATGATTTATTCATCTAGATAGTTATGTTTCCTCTCTCTACTTTTGATGTGATGATACTCGATCATTTCAGTATTTTTTTCATTCCTACTGTTGATGTTGTAAGGTTTTAAAAAATCAATGAATAATACACATTGGTAATTTATGAAGAGCTATTACCTTGGATTTGGTACTTCTCCAAGAATCTCATCTAATTTGTCAATGAAATTAATAAAATTAGACAATCCCTTTATATGGGTCCTTAAAGGATCAGATGATGATGGTGCATATCCTTTCCCTCCAAGTTCTATTGTTCTAATAAACGATGTGGCCACCTATGAATGAAATGAATGATTCAGTTACATTTAAGTTTTACTGAGTTAAAATTGAAATTTAAGTCATGGAACTAGGTAAAGTTATAAAATTCTAAATTTTCAGGTAAAATGTGACAAGTTTTATGGCTCCTATCAAACTCTGATTCAGGCATAAAACCATAGAGACTAGTGCCATCCAAAATTCATACCAACAAGGGTACCAATGATACGAATTGCAGGTGAAAACAAATTAAAGATTAAATATAGATCATTGATTATAAAGAATCTGCTTATGAATACATTTTTACCTAGCTTTATGACTATCAAAATTGTCATATAAAATAAACTCATTTTCAGCGTTAACTGATCTGTTGTGTTAGATAAGCGAATTAATCTGTTAATCAGTACTTCCAAATATTTATTTTACCTTTACTGTGAAATAAATAGATTACATAGTTACTAAATTCCATCTAGCATTCACATTTTTGGTTTTTGATCACGTAGTTAAAAAGACTTATCTCTACAATAATTAAACACACACATGCGATGGCTATACAGAAGAGTGTCCCACCGAAGACAAAAATGTTCTAACATAGCATTTTCTAAGACATAACTGTTAGAGGGACAAACCCTATGAAATGTCAACACTTTACAAGAAGTTCCATGGGCATAACTTCAGAAACAATAGGCTAACTAACAAAGTTAACTCTTAAAAGTTACCAGTAAATTTCTTTGTGGCAGGATTTCTCCAAGCTCTTGATATACACACAGTGCTATGTGTAAATCATCAGGGAGATATACTATTTCTAAATTTTCCCTTGGCATAGTTTACTCAGGGAGTATTTAACAGAGACTTTCTGCCTTTGGAAACACCTATTCAAAAGTTTATCAAAGTTGGGGGTGGGGGGTAGTTGTGGAGGTAGGAGGGAAGGGATGGTAGGGGGAAAAAACAAAGGAGGAGGCAACAATGCTCAATAGGAAATGTACTCATTACCTTGCTCATGTAACTGTAACCCCTCTGTACAGCATTTTTACAATAAAAAACATACAAAAATTTATCAAAGTTGGGCATAGAGTTACAAATCTATATTGCCAGCACTGAGTTACAAGGTAAAAACCTTGTCTCAATCAAAAAACAAAAAATTACCAGAGCTAATATTCTGCAAAGTATAAAGTAGGGAAACACTGCTTTAGATAATTTTTTCTTTACCAAACTTAAAAAGATATAGTGGGTGAAAAAAAAACCTGCCATGGATTTTTAAATATAGAGATAAAATAGAAATTTACCACTTAAAAGTTGTTTTGTCATATTACAAGAACACTATATTAAGGTACACACATCAACACATCCATACCAAAAACATAGACATCTGTTTCTCCTGAGCAGCATGTTTCAAGTCAGTGAAGGCTTCTTTTCCAAGTCCTCTATCAGGAATATTCAGAATGTGAGCCAGAGCCAGGTCATTCTTTGAATTCACTAGCAAGTTTAAATATGAAAAGACAATTTTCCTTGCTAGTAGCTGTACCTGTACAAAAATTAGTCATTTTAGTTCATTTTTTCTAAATCAATAACCTCTTTTTACATGCATTTTTTAAAACTCAGAAAACTTCATTCAGTTTTAGACAAAGAAAATTGTCCAATAAATTGAAAACTGAGACTGGATAACCAAAATCAATTCAGATCCAATAAGATACTATGAATACTAGACACTATGTTGAAAATGAACTATACAACTTGTGGGAGGAGGCAGGAGGGAAAAATTGGGAGAAAGCAAGGGAAGAGGCGACACTGTTCAAAAAGAAATGTACTAAGGTAACAAGTTTGACAAGAAATGTACTGATTACCTTACTTATATAACTATAACCCATCTATACATCACCTTGACAATAAAAAAATGTACTTGTTACCTGACTTATGTAACTATAACTCCTCTGTACATTATCCTTACAATAAAGTTAAATAAAAAGAAAGGTTACAGTTACGTAAGTCAGATGAGTATGTTTCTTTTTGAACAGTGTCACCTCTTCCCTCTATTTCTCCTCTTCCAACATCCCCTTCGCCACAAATTGTATAGTTCATTTTCAATATAGTGTCTAGTAAGTATCACTGGCTGCATTTGTTCACCCTTTGTCTCACCATTTCTGTGCCCTCTACCCTCCCTCAAACAGATAAAAGGCACAGAAATCAAAAACAGTGACAAGAAGAAAAAAAGAAAGGTAATTTAAAAAACCTTGCTTCAATTTCTTTGAATTCATTTAGATAAACATATATGATCATATGCACATAGCTGTTGAGCCTTTGTGATTTTCTACTAAGAATACCTTCCACTAAGAATATCTTCCCTTTGATCACTATAAATTTATTTTATTTTATTATTATTTTTTTAATTTTGCCATTCGTGGGGCTTGAACTCAGGCCTGGACACTGTCCCTGAGCTGCTTTTGCTAAAGGCTAGCACTCTACCACTTGAGCCCCTTCTAACTTTTTCTGTTTATATGTTACTGAGGAATCAAACCCAGGGCTTGATGAATACTAGGCATACTACCACTAAGCCACATTCCCAGTCCCCACAATATATTTTAACTCAGTGCCTCAAGCTCGCTAGCTAAGCACTGTACCACTTGAGCCACAGCCCAGTCTAAAGCATACATTTACATGCTTTTCCTTTTTACCATCTGATAATGCTGTGTGGTTCTATTCTAATTCTCTGTAATGGATCATAATATTTTCTGGCTTTATTTATTTGTTTCTTTGTTTATTTTTGCTAGTCCTGGGCACTGTCTCTGAGCTGCTTTTGCTCAAAGCTAGCACTCTACCACTTGAGCCACAGTGCCACTTCTGGCTTTTTCTGTAAATGTGGTACTGAGGAATAGAAGCCAGGGTTTCAGCATGCTAGGCAAGAACTCTACCACTAAACCACATTCCCAGTCCTCTTTTCTGGTCTTTTAATTTCCTTATCCTTCCACTGTTTCATGACATCTATGAGAGCAAATATTTCGATTTTTTAGTCTACAGTATGTCTAAACTAGTAATCTCTTCTTTATCTCTTTGACATTTAGAAAAGAGTAACACTATTTGCCAAAAAGAAAAAAAAAATCAATGGAAGAAAAAAGTGATATTTACACTGTAATAAGAAACATTTTTACATTTCTGACATTTAATGGAATCTGTTTCACTGTTTCTGTTGCCCAAAAGTAATAAGACCTTACTATTATTTATATACTGGATCCTTATTGAGCAAAAAAATCAAGCCTGAGCCTTCCACACATACAACTTGCTCTTCAAAGCTAACAAGTTCTACCCTTGTGATTTGCAACGCTGGGCAAACATCATGGGGGGAGTATCCTGGAGTCTTCACAGATGGAGTGTTTTAACTCATGGCTACCACTGGAAATCTATCTCTATCATTGTGGTCAGATAACGTGGCAGTTGTGGTTTCCTTACTCTTGTATGTGCAAGTGGATTTTAAGGAGGTTCTTTAGACAAGCAATCCATATAAGAATGGTTGGCAAAGGCCTACACTGAAAAAAAAAATCCACAAAACTAAAGCTTTACCAAACAAGGATATTGTTCTCTTTGCTTAATAAACTAGTTCTACCCATAGCACAAAGTATTTGCTATGTTTCTTGAGAAATTGGATCCATTTTTGCTATTGTCATTCATGGGGTTTGAACTCTGGGCCTGGGTGCTGTCCCTCAGCTCTTCAGCTCAAGGCTAGCACTCTACCACTTGAGCCACAGTACCACTTCCCGATTTTTCTGCTTATGTGGTGCTGAGGAATCGAACTCAGGGCCTCATGCATGCAAGGCAAGCACTCTACCACTGAGCCACCCTCCCAGCCCCAGAAATTGGATACTTTAAGGTTGCTTACAGTTCTTAGTTTCATTTCCTGTCCCTGCATTCTTACTGAGATATAAGTATTCAGCCTACAGTTGAAGAAAGTTTTTCTAAATTGAAAAAAATTTAAGAGTTTGTACAGGCACTCTTTGCTAATTGTTCATGTTTCCACACAGTATTTAATACATGCATATTCTGTAATCAGATTGACCTCCTCATACTCACCCCATTATCTATATTACTCAGTGGCTTTAACTGAGTTTCATTATGACAACTCCATGTATCAGTACAAAGTATTTCAATATTGTTCACCCTTGAACGTTCACTTTTCTTTTTTCTTTTCTTTTTTTTTTTTTGTCATTCGTGGGGCTTGAACTCTGAGCTTGGGCACTGTCCCTCAGCTCTTCAGCTCAAGGCTAGCGCTCTACCACTTAAGCCACAGCACCACTTCTGGCTTTTTTCTTTTTGCTTATGTGGTGCTGAGGAATCGAACCCAGGGCCTCATGCATGCAAGGCAAGCGCTCTACCACTGAGCCACCTTCCCAGCCCGGAACATTCACTTTTCTTTTAGCCTCTCCAATCATCTCAAACAGTCCCACAATTACAAATGGAAGTAGATCTGTGGCTCAAGTAGCAGAGTGTTACCTTTGAGCAAAAAAAGCTAGGGGCAGTGCCCAGGCCCTGAGTTATGAGTTCACGCCCCTGTTGATCAAACTAACAATAGTTTGGCTATTAACTGTCAGTCTGAACAGTAAACACTGACGATAGACTTGGGATATTTTCTGACACCAAAAAGGAAAAAAAAAAATGTTCATGTAAGGCCAGCCACTGATGGCTCATACCTGTAACCCTAGCTCTTAGGAGGCTCAGAACTGTTCAAAGCCACCCCATTCAGGAAAGTCTGTGAAACTCTTACTTCCAACCATCAAAAGAGCTGGAAGTAGAGCTGTGGCTGAAGTAGTTGAGTTCTAGCCTTATGCAAAATAGCTTAGGGATAGCACTGCCTTGGCTCTAAGTTCAAGCTCCAGAACCTGGATAAAACAAAACAAAATCTCCAATAGGGCATGTGAAAGAAGATACAGGAGCTGTCTAAATGGGTTCCTTCTATACTAACATCAAAACTACACGTGTGTAACCAAGTGAATAATTAAAAATTCATGTGTGCTCATGCCTGTAATCCTAGCTACAGCTGAGATCTGAGGATCACAGCGCGGGCAGAAAAGTCCCCATTAGACTCTGATATCTCCAATACATCATCTAAAAACTAGAAATGGAACTGTGGCTCAAGGAGTAGAGCGTTAGCCTTGAGCACAAAAACCACTTGAGCCACTAAGCTGACACACATATACACACATACACACACACACACACACACACACAATCATGTGTGAATCCACAGAAATATACATACAAAAGAGAAAGATAAATAGAAAAAATATATAATTTGCCTCTTACATATATCTATTATGTCTACTCCAAAATTGGTAGAGAATTAAGCAGTGGCCTTGACATTTTCAGAGATTCATACTTTATCCAGGTAAAATTTTGCCTTACTGGAAATGGCAACAGCAAGTAATTAATGTAATCATGTAACAATTAGAAACTCACTATCTACAAATGCTAAACAAATAATTGCCTCAGACAAGGATCATCAATGCATGCATTAAATAACATTAACTGAAAGTTTGTTGTGAAACAGGATCATTTACACAGTGCCAAACAAACTATCACCCCATAGACCTTTGCTGATAGGAATGGGAAAACTAGATCTTTATACTGGAGAGATCTGGCAGCTTAGAATATGCTGAGTTATTTTCTGATGAAGTACAAAATTAAATGTTCTAGGTCACTTATAAAGTGTTTCTTGCAAAATGTTAAGCCTAACTCTAAGCTTTTAAGAAATTATGAAAAATACAGAAGAGAAATAAATAAGTTAAATTAAATTAAAATTGCATAGTATTCAGCAAATAAAAAAGACAAAATATTAGGAGAATGTTTATTAATTAAAATAATTTATAAAGACCATTTTAGGGACAAATAGAGAAGATTGATATCATGGTTATCGCTCATTTTTAGGAACGGTATGCTAAACAATTTGAGATGCCACAGGATGTTGGCAGCTTTAAATTAGACATGAAAATAAATTGATGCCAATAAAAGGTACACCCATAAATCCAGGGACTAGTCTATAGGTATTTATTTGAAAGTAGTGATGATTTTTTAAGTGCAATCTATAAAATATGTAACTTATAGAAGACTCTTCTCAGTAACATTTCCTAAAAAAAAGCAATTCATCAAAGTTACTGAAGCAATTACAAAAATAGGTGTATAGTTTTAAAATATGTTGGAAGCAAGCAAGTGTCTTATAATACTATCTCCTCAGGAATCTGAGATCTGAGGATAATGGTTGGAAGATAGCCAGGGTAGAAAAGCCTGACTCTTATCTCCATTAACCAGCAAAAATGCCAACTGGAAGAATGGTTCAAGTAGTAGAGCACTAGCTCTGAGTAAAAAAGAGGCCTTGAGTTCCAACATCCTCAGCCCCCCCCCCCCAATGTATTCAAACATGTTAAATACAATTTTATTGACTTTGAGAATATATTTAAACTTTTATCTTAACAATGGTGATTTTATTACTTCTAGAAACTAATAAATGTTAACTCCCATTACTATACATAGGTGCCTAGCTTAATCTTAACAGTCAGTTGAAGGTAAAATTGCATTAAACATGTACATGGCACTTTCTTGTGGTTTGTTTGTATGGTAAACCTTGTCATCAGACTCCTAATACATCAGTAGTGAAACAGCCACACAAGAATCAATTACCTAAAACAATAAAATTACCAAAGAGGAAGATCCAAGAACCCTGACAGTCTAGAACTTTTAACAACTTCTTTGGTACTCTGAATGGTACCCATATTTGCTCAGTACCAGTTACTCTAGCCCAAATCCATAAAGACCCTGATTTATATGATGTGTAAACTAGCCTCCAATATATGATTTACTTACCAAAAGTTTTATTTAAATAAATTTTTAAAATTGTGAGAATTTTAAAAAGACTCAAGTATTAGTTAACTCATATGAAATGCCAAATTCAGTGATTTGAAGGGAATCATACTCTGCTTGAACTCACAGGCAACTTATCAGTACCTTTCCATTCTCCTGCTTGAGTTTCATTGGTGATGTGGGTTCGTAAACATTAGTTCCATCAGCTATTGCATAACTTTTGCCAGACAGAAAATCCCGTAGTTCAATCTGTAGGAAATATAAGGCATTGCTAATAAAAACTGGCTTACCTTTTGTTTTCTTTTTTTTTTTTTGCCAGTCCTGGGGTTTAAACTCAGGGCTTGGGCACTGTCCCTGAGCTTCTTTTGCTCAGGGCTAGTGCTCTACCACTTGAGCCACAGCACCACTTCCGGCTTTTTCTGTTTATGTGGTCCTGAGGAATTGAACCTGGGGCTTCATGCATGCTAGGGAAGCACTCTACCACTGAGCCACATTCCTAGCCACCTTTTGTTTTCTTTTTTGTAATCATTACCAGGACATTATCAGTCATAAGCTAAGTATTCATTTTCCAAATGAGAAAATGTGGACCTTTAAAGACGTAGAAAATAAACACTAATAAAATATGGGGTATTACTAATAGTTGCTAGATAGACCACTAAGAATATCTTCCATCTAGTGTCCCTGATGCTCATATGTGGAGTATTACTTGACATTTGTTGTCAGTCCCTAAGCTTATAGGGAATTCATCATAGATGTTAGCACACATCTTTCCCACATTCTCACCAATCCTTCCTTTAACTTGACTTACAGATGATTATCTTGGTTGGGGATGTGATTTTCAGGTTGCCAACCTCCTCTTTCAGGACACACTATTATATTGATAATATCTGAATTATAATTAAACTGAATATTAATTATGTTTAAAGGAACTCTGTAATAGAAACTGTACTACACTCTTACCTAGGTATGTATCTTTTTTTCTCGCTCTCTATATATATAAGTCTAGGTATATATCTTGATAAACTCATCAGCCTCAGACTCATTACTTTCCAGCCAATATTACAATATCAATAATATGTATTATATTGTTATAATACTTCCACATTACAATTATAATATAGAAATATAGTTTCTATATATAATATATAATTTTGTTTTAGCATACGTTTACATATTTAATTATACCTTCATATGCATGTTTTTCCCTCTAGGACTCTTTATCATTTTCTTAAATCTAGATAGAACCTCCAACTTCAAGATCTAACTTGGAGGTTAGATCTAGAAGTCAGATCTTTTCTTTCGTTTTTTCAATTATATACTTTCCTGTTTTATTGGGCACAATTTTCAAGATACAAATTTGCATCTCATACTAATATACCTGTTATATCAGAAAAACAATTTTTCTAAGTTTTTATAAAAGTTGTTGGCTTTTCATAAAGCTTGGAAGGATGCACCCTAATGTATTTATTTCTACATAACTACATAAGAAGTTTCTGCTTCTTTATATTTTCAACATTTCCTCCTCTTTCATGATTGACAGTTTTATAACCTGATAATTGCTACACAAGGTTTAGTGAGCCAGTAGAATAGTCAATTTATATAGGAGGAAATAACTCATAACAGGCATGTGTTGTAACATTCCACACAGCACACAGAACATCAATGGATGAAATCTGAACTGTCTCAGTAACTGTCATTGCCAACCTCCTTCTGATCCCTTCTTGATCACAATTCTCTGTTGGAAACCTCCACGTCAATGTCTGGAGTTCCAGGAAGAATGGTAAGGAATACTTTCCACCCAATCTGAAGCTTATGATGTTTTTTTTTTACTTGTCTCTTAAAACAGAATACTTAGACCTGCCTATTAGTAGAATCTATTACATGAAATTTTTCACTCACATGTGTGATTTCCTTAGAGATTGGCATTTTGGTTCTACTCTGGCAATACGTTCTTATAGACTTTCCTGAGGAGAGCTAGTACACCTGTCCAAAATACCAGAAGGGGAAGCTGGGAAAGCAGTAAAAGAAAGAGATGGATAGAACTGGAGGGAAAAAAAGAAAACATTTTTTTTGATAAAGTGATTAGGGAAAACATTTATTAGAATAAATAAAGTCTAGCTTTCGGTTTAGTAGCCAATAGGTCCATGAGTGTCTCTGACATGTGTGAACTTGGTAGGCTTCCAGCTGGCTGTGTGTGTGTTAAACTGGAACTCTGTGGCTGCAGGTTTCTTCGCAATTTCCACAGTGAGGTGATGCTGAGTGGCTTCTTCAATGTTCTGAAGCAGGATGCTTTCCCACTGCCTCACCCGCTCCATGGCAGCTGCCGGCTTCATTGGGCCCCATCTCCCCCTGTGGACTGTGTGGTGATTCCTGGGCACCCTTGAATTTTGAGGACCCCTTGGGAAAGACTTTTGCTTCTGCTTTTGCCGCTGCTGCTGAGCCATCCGAACAAAGGCAGTAGATTCTTCCCCAGGAACCAAGGGGTCCATGCCAGACCCTAACTGCCCGTGGAGCCCCTCGGAGGCCTGGAGAATAGGTCGTCTCTTTGTGGAAGCCGCTGTGGAGCCAATCCCTGCCAGATGCCTACAGAAGTCCTGGGAAGTACATGCAGATAGCCGGAACCTATCCCCTGGACCCTCTTCCTCAATGTAAGGGGCAACTTCTGGTGATCTTGCGCTCCTGCTGAAGCTTGCTTCCTCGGGAGTCTTTTGTTTTATGGGCTTTCTCAAAGGTGGCCCCATTTGCAAAGCAGGGCTTTCCTGTCCGGAGTTCAACCCCTTCATCTCTAGCTCCACCCCATTTCCAACCGGAAAAGCTGTCCAAGGCAGTTGCAGCACGTGCCAGTGCTGGTCCTTGAGCCCAAGCTGACGTAGCTGTGGCACTCATACTGAGACACAAACGAACGTGCCTTTTTTGGGTACTTAGGTGTTATGAGTTCTCTTAAGTAATGTGCTCGTATGTTCAAGTTGTCAGTCCTCTGTGACTGCATTATTATGTGGGCACATGGGTTGCCAGCTAACTTGCCCTTCTCTAGCTCCTGGTGACTTTTTGGATAGTTTGTTTTTCTTCATTGGCTCTTTGGGTCTCAGCTGACATGTCGGCTCTGTAAGTGACAGAATGTAAAATGGCTTCTATGTCCATAGTGCAGGATGGGAGTCACATGCTGACTGGCCAATGAAGTCTTGCATTCTCTCTTATTAACAGGAAGTAATGCAGCTACTTCTGGCTAGAGCCATAAGTTATTCAATCAGCTCACAAACGACCTTTGTTGACCTGGCTCAGAGGAACTACAGATCTCTGTGGCTCTACCTTCTCAGATATTTTTTCTCATTTTCACTCCTCACCCTGACTGGGTCTCTGATGCAGTGTTCCAGATACTCACAGTTCATAAGAAAGAAAGTCCTGGACCAAACTGCTCCACTTAGACCACACTTAGAATTCAAAGCCTTAAAGGGTACCATATGCCTACAGTTCCTCAGAAGATAAATTATAAACAAGGGAAAGGGAGTCTGTTCAAATTACCACATACACAGTTCCACAACTGTCCTCTTAGCTCATTATCTCATCATTCCTGCCTTAAATTTAAGTTACAACAAAAAATCATCAACAACAACAACAAAACCTATCAGGGTCATGAAAAGTTAAGATCATAAAATTTGGAATATTTTGATGTAAAACCTTAGACTTTTAGTACAAATTGAGGCTATATTTTATTTTTTTTAGAAATTGATCTAGGGATATATTTTCTTGTCTACTTTCCCCTCATTGGAAATGTCCATGGCGCAAATATAAGTATTAGACCAAGGTACTGGTGTTAACAAACATTAACTCCAAAAATTTTCCTCATGTATTACTATTTCAAATGAAGGAATAAAGAGGGAATGTTGAAGACAACTTTCCATATAGTCAATCTGAAATGTGTATCCTTACATATTCCATTTTATTAGTTGATCCATTAAAATAAGAAAACTTTTTAAAAGAACTTAAAACAGGGGCCAAAGATTGGATGAAAACAATATGCCCCAAAATATCAGTATCCCATGGTATCATTAGATAATCAGATTTTATTGTTCCCATAGCTCAGTGCTTATTAATTAGCCTTTATAAATTAGTTATGTAAAACATAGTGAAGCAAATAAAATACAGCTAGGAAAGACCAAAAATCAATCTTCAATCATAAGTATCTCTACTTCAGTATGAGTATACACTTGTGGTCATGTGGGGAGAAGTTTTACATGAATATATCATTTCCTTGATAGACCAATGTGGCAAATACAAAAACCTGTACCTCAGTATCCATTTTCCCCTTCTTCTTTATACAGCTTTAGCTTTTATTCTAGTATGTTATTAAACATAATGAAGACTATGTTACTGCACTTTTCAGCTTGGTATAGCCATATGACTAAGCTTTGAGTAATGAAATGGAAGCAAAGGAGCTATAACTCCCTAAAAAGAGAAAATTCTGTTCTATTTCTTGCTAAAAAAAAAAAAAAAACAGGGTGGGGGCTGGGAAGGTGGGGGAGAGTGGAGTTAAAAATTTTTAAAAATAAATAAAAATGTCTGAAACTTCCGTCATAATGGACCAGGAAATGGTCTTGAAGATAGCAACCAACAAATAAGAGAGAGTAAAATAACAAACATGATAGTTCAATGGGCCTCCATGATAGTCATAGAACTATGAGAGTGCTAAGTGTGTATCATTAAGCATTGTTTACAGAAGACTCTACACTACTTGTAGTATAGCGCATGCATACCATTCCTGAGGCCTAAACTTGGGGCCTGGGCAATGTTTCTGAGCTTTTTCGCTCAAGACTAGTGCTCTACCATTTGAGCCACAGTTCCACTTCTGCCATTTTGATAGTTGATTGGAGATAAGTCTCATGGATTTTCCTGCACGTGCTGCCTTTAAACCGAAGTTCTCAGACCTTAATCTCTTGAATAGCTAGGGTTAAAGGAGTGAGCCACTAGAGCTTAGCTTAATCTAGTTTTAAGAGTAGAGATTTATATAATTAGCTAAAAAGGTTTTCTTCAATCTTTTGCTGTAATTAGTTATTTTAGTTATTATATATTTATTATTTATTACATTTAGTTATTATACCTTATTAGCACTCAACAAAAGTTAAGATAAAGTATTTCAACACTTAAAAAACTATATATGTTCAAAGATATTCTTAAATAGTTTATAAAATCTCTTGTAGACAAAATGAACTCCGAGAGATATATTCCACTTAATTTTTAAATTTACATTCCAGGGCTGGGAAGGTGGCTCAGTGGTAGAGTGCTTGCCTTGCATGCATGAGGCCCTGGGGTTCAATTCCTCAGCACCACATATGCAGGAAAAGCCATAAGTGGTACTGTGGCTCAAGTAGTAGAGTGCTAGCCTTGGGCTGAAGAGCTGAGGGACAGCACCCAGGCCCAGAGTTTAGGCCCCATAACCAACAAAAAAAAAATTTACATTCCATTAAAAATAAATATGCTTGTATAAAAAATGAAAAATCCACTATCTCATGTATACTGTATCACACTACACTCATGAGAAAAAACGTCATGTTATCTAGGAAAATATTATTATTATTAATCCATAGGGAAATATCTTAATTCATATAACATGTCAAACAGCTGTATTAAGAAAAAAGTTCTAGGAAAATACCCTTAACATAATTCAAATAGAAAGGGCTAGGAAGGTGGCTCAGTGGTAGAGTGCTTGCCTTGCATGCCTGAGGCCCTGGGTTCGATTCCTCAGCACCACATAAGCAAAAAGAAAAAAGCCAGAAGTGGCGCTGTGGCTCAAGCGGTAGAGCACTAGCCTTGAGCTGAAGAGCTGAGGGACAGCGCCCAGGCCCAGAGTTCAGGCCCCACGACTGGATCCAAAAAAATAATAATAATAGTAATAATAATTCAAATAGAAATTTGGCATTTGAGATTGATTTTTTTGAATCTAATAATAAAGTATTCTTACAATCAAGCCAAATAACAACAATACAAATCTATTTCCTCCAAGTAAAAGCTATCTTTCAGGTAGCTGAATTTTCCATTCTTATCATGATCCTCAAAGCCAAAATATTACAAAATTCCTAGGTGTTTTTTTTTTTTAACCTGGCATGTTACTACCTAGAATAAAGACCATATTCTCCTTCATGTTCGTATGTTCTCTCATACCCACTCTTGGGATGCTCTAGTAACAAATCAAAGTAAGTCTAGCAGAATTTTATTTTGATAAAAGTAGGACTATTTTAAAAAATACTTACAGGAGATATCATGTCATTATTTTCACAATTAGCAGTTAAAACTCTACATTTTTTATAAATGTCGATCAGATCTAACATATTACTATTCTTCAAGAAATCACTGTAAGTCTTCTTAATGTCTTCATAATGGTCAACCACTTCCATATTATCAACAGGTAAGTTCAGTTTCTCATGAAGTAAGTATTTCCATGTCAGTAAGACATCACTGAGAGAGACTGTAAATTCTCCATCATACTGAGATAATGCAAAAAGGAAAAGAAAAAGATAAAATTGATGAAAAAGATAAAATTGATAAAAAGACAAAATTAACTTATTAAGATAGGAAATACAAATAACATTTTCCTACAGCCAAATCTAAGAGTTTAATGATTTTATAAAATATGAATAAGGCAATTTTACACATGACAAAACTGGTAAGTATATAACTATTGTCTCATTTCACAAATTCCACTACATTTCTTTTAGTTCAAGTAGATACAGGTGGGTAGTGAGCTACACTTTAATACTACTGACTAGAGAAATACTTGCTTGTATCTTTTAATCTCTTATTTAAAACTGCCTATGCCATAATGAATTCCCTCATAATGAAATGTCGCAACTGTTGATCTTAAGTTATAGTTATAGAGATGAGGTTTTTTAATTAATGTTTCATTTGATATACCATTACAAGTTATCAATGCTAAAGTTACCAATGCTAAAACCTAGGGTAAGGAAATAATCATCAATCTGGGCACTGCTGGCTCACATCTATAATCCTAGCTAATCAGGAGGCTGAGATATGAAGATTGCAGTTCAAAGGCAGCCTGGGCAGGAAAGTCCATGAAACTTTTATCAATCATTAACCCCAAAACTCTAGAAGTGGACCTGTGGCCCAAGTGGTAGAGCACCAGCCTTGAGCAAAAGAGCTAAGGGGCAGTACCCAGGCCCTGAATTCAAGTCCTGGTACTGACAAAAAAAAAAATTAACTCTTTACTCATCCATTTGGAGACAAGAGAATTATCCATCCTTATTATCATAAATATGAAAATGAACCAGTTGCCATGAAATTAGCACAATGAGAAAAAAAAAAACAGCTTCTCTCAACTCTTGAATCCATAGCCCAAACAAATATAAGATAGATTTGTAATTTCCCATCATTTATCTCAACTATGGCTGAAACAGTTTTTAGCATGACATTCTTCACATTTAAAATAAATTAAGATTCTGTCTAGTGTAAATGTACAATTGATTCTCACCCTGTTGAGTATAACGAGTTAAAACAAAACTATGTAAGCTCTTTTGATCTTGTGAGAAAGGTTTTTGATTAGATTAACTGTGTTTATATTGAGACTGTAAAAACATTTTAAATCCAAATAAAAAGGCACTCCAGATATCAGTTTTCATGATCAGGTGCCCACCATGACAGCATATACTATTATTCAAACCAGTAACAACTGATTGAGACTATGTGGTCAAATCAAAAAATGTTTTGCTAGGAAAATATGCCAGCTGGCTAATATATGAAGGAAGTTCAAAATGTTCAATTCTTCAATTCTCTGATGGACCTAAGAAGGATTGTATTTCACAAGAATAAAATGAGAAAAGTAAGAGCTACATTTTAGAGTGGTTATATTTTAATTATGCATATTAGTTATTTTGTAATAATTCAAAATTTCAAATAAAATTTAGATTTTAATTAGATTTTTTGTTACGATTAGAGGAAAGACCAAATCCACTAATAAGTACTAAGATACTGAAACCCTCTGAGTCAATACCCTTTGCTATATAGGGGTTTTATATAAAAAATAAATAAATACACACACACACACACAACACACACACACACACAAAGTTGTTTGGGGGAAGGGACAGTTGTCAGCCATGGGGCTTGGCACTTGTCCCTGAGCTCTTTTGCTCAAAGCTGGCACTCTACCACTTGAGCTACAACTCTACTTCAGGTTTTTAGTAGTTAATTGGAGGTAAAGAATCTCGTGGACTTTCCTGCCCACTCTGGTTCTGAACTACAATCCTCAGATCTCAGCCTCCTGAGGAGTAGCTAGGATTATAGGTATGAGCCACCAGGTCCCAACTATTCTTTTATATATTAAATATACTGACAAGTAATTGGTAATAAAAGTGACATTTTATTTTCTTTCCCCTTTTTAAAGTAAAATAACTGTTGGAAGGATGATGGAGAAATGAAATACAGTTAAAGACTCTGTTCCTTCCTATTTACCGAAGGGTATTTTCAGGTCTCTTTCAAATGTGACAGTCCACTGCAGTTATTGTTAGTCTTTTCTATGAAGCCAGTACCTTTGTCTATATTGTACAAGGGAACATTTGTAACTTTCCTAGTAAGACAAGTAAGGTGAAAAATATCCAGTATAACATCATTTCCAGACAGATCCAAAGTATAAAGCCATTTCCAAAGAAAGAAAAGACCAATATAGTATTTGCCTCCTAATGAAGTCATATATAGTTGCTATGCAATGAAGTCATCGTTCCTCACTGAGTCTATTATAGGTTAACTTTTAGCAGTATAAAGCTGCTGAGAGATGTTTATATATGAATTCCCTCCTAATATTCCCTCCTAAAAAAGCATATGAAATAGCTACTCAAGAGGCTGAGATCTGAGGATCATGGTTCAAAGCCAGCCTGGGCAAGAAAGTCCATGAGACTCTTATCTCCAATTAACTATCAAAAGAAAAAAGCCAGAAATATATCTGTGGCTCAAGTGGTAGAGCACTAGGCTTGAGCAAAGAGAGCTCAGGGTCAGTGCCCAGGCCCTGAGTTCAAGCCATAAGACCAACATCAAAAAACACAACATGTGAAAAACATAAATCTAGGTATTATTTTATATACCATTTCTTTTCTTTTCTCCCACCTAAGTAAGTAGTTAAGAAAACAAACATGTCATAGTCACATTCAGTTGTAAGGATTATGTATTAGGACTCAACCTCTCTAATTTCAGTGAAATAAAAACCTAAATAGTTTAAAGGATTTTTTTTTTTTAATGTAAAAGTTATCTACAACCAGCCAGGCACTGGTGGCTCACACCTGTAATCCTAACTATACAGGAAGCTGAGAACTGAGGATCTTGGTTCTAAGCCAGCCTGGGCAGAAAAGCCTGTGAAATTCTTACTTCCAATTAACCAGCAAAAAGCCAGAAGTGGAGGTGTAGCTCAAGCAGTAGAGTACCAGCTTTGAAAGAAAAAGCCAAATTATGCATGAGACCCTGAGTTCAAGCTCCAGTATCTATAGTCCATTCTATCTACAGTGTATCTATCTATATAATCAAAGTATCTATAGCCAATTCTCTTTTGTTACTATGTGCTATTAATGAATGCACTGTAGGTGTATATGTATGTTTTTCACATTGTTGAGTGTTTAGAAGTCTGACCACAGTTGAATTCAGATGCGTGAGCTAATAGTTGTATATGTGGGATAATGAAATAAAATTGAGCTGCAACCACCATCACACACACAAACTACACATCCGTGAACTGTGAAATCTCGGTTGCAACTCATCTTTCCTCTTCTTTCCCACCCAGAGCCTGTACTTTCACAATGAATTAAGAGAATTAGCAAGTTGAAAATTGGTAAGCACAAAAAGGCCCCAAGTAATTGCTACATAAACAAGTCTGAGTAAAAACTGACTTGACTGCAATATTTCAAATGTATCAAAAAATTATATCAAAAATGTATCAAAAAATTTGGGGATACATTTTATGCAGCTCATTGATAAAATACATTCATTTCTATAAAAGTAATTCATAAACAAAAATCAGATGATTTGAGTATTCTGATTCTAGAATAAGTCTTCAATCATATACTACAATGATTCTAATGAGCTGAATTTCCAGTGAATGTTCAAGGGTTAACATCTTAGTTATAAAATAACCTCAAAATTTCTTCCTTACATTCGTGTCATTTCTTCATATTACTGTAGGAAATTTTAAATAAAATACTCAGATAGTAAAATTAAGAAGAACTAGATGCAGGAAGTGGCGCTGTAGCTCAAGTGGTAGAGCGCTCGCCTTGAGCTGAAGAGCTGAGGGACAGCGCCCAGGCCCAGAGTTCAAGCCCCACGACCGACAAAAAAAAAAAAAAAAAGAAAAGAAAAAGAAAAAAAAAAAGAAGAACTAGATGTGGATTACAAGGAGGAGGGAGGAAAGAGAACCTGGGATGATTCCACATTTCAAAAACTTACACAAAAATTAGCTTGTAATACAAAGCACTTACACATGGAACGACTAGGAACTATTTCAAGATTTGGAACTTTAAAATAAATATCCCATCTCCTTGGAGCTATCTTTTTATAGATATGATCTCTTTCCTCAGTTTAGATAGAAATACTATCATTTATAAGTAATTCAGAATTTTCCCTAAATTTTCAACAATGGGTAAACACAAACATTCTAAAACTTAACTTTTATTCTTACTGCTGATTGGAGAAATTGATAATGAGTGGGATAACAGGAGAAAATCCATAAAATATATAATCCTTGCTTACAAAAACTCAGGTATTAGGATTTTACAAAGGAATCATTCAGTTATTTTAAAGGATATAAACATTTCTACCTGAATTCTACCAGTTTCAATGAAATCTCCCAACCCAGTTCCTCTTCACCATCACAAACTGAAACAATGGTTTCCCTTTGCTGATTTTTGTTTCAGTGACAAATGCAAACTATTCTCTAGGTCATTCAAGTAAGACAAAGTTCACTTCTAATTCTGATTTCCCTTAGTTACTATGAATCACCAGATGCAGTTTTTTCCCTTTCCATTTTAACTAATAGTAGTCCAAATTACTGTAATCACACATAGATCTGTAACAGCCTCAAAACTGGCCTCTCAATCTCCAGACTCTTCAACTTGGTTTATATGTCTATATGTTTATACTCCAAAAATGCCATTCACTGGTCAGTAGCTTTTTGTTTTCTGTTTTGTTTTTGTTTTTCCAGTACTGGAGTTTGAACTTAAGGCCTTGCACTTGCTAGGATAACACTAACTCTTGAGCCAGGCTCAAGCTATGCTTTTTTGGAGATGGAGTATAATGGAATTTTCTGCTTCTGATCAGTAACATCAAGATTCTTTTTTAAAATTAATTCTTAGCATTGAAGAACAAAAATCATTCCATAGAGGGATGCTGATCCTTGATGAAGTCCCTTTCAAACAAAATCTGAACTGTATACATACTTTGTTAGGTGTTCAAGGATCCTGAACTACACAAAGGTGTACTACATTTACCTTCCTACACATTTATGTGAACTAGTGACTTTGACTAGTATTCTCAATGAATAAAATGTATTGTTAAGCTTTTATTTTCCCAACTCACCTAGAAGGTTGTAAATTGACTGAAAGAGGATTGAATGGAAGCATGTATTAAACACGCATTGCTTCCATTGGAGAGGAGAGTTACAATAATGAATGAAGAAAGGTAACTAAAATATTACTGTTTGGGGTTGGAATTATAGACACAAACTTGTGAAAATATGAAAAATTCTTAATTCTGTCTTCTGAAAGCTTAAGACTAGCACTAGATATAAAAGATACAAACTGAAGTGCTCAAAGACCAAAACTCAAGCTGCCTGCTACTTATTATCAAATAGTTCACAGAATAATATGTATGCAAGTATATGTGTACAGCATTGTACAATAGGGGCTGGGAAGGTGGCTCAGTGGTAGAGCGCTTGCCTAGCATTGTACAATATACACATATGCATAGATATATATATTCATATAAAGACACATATGTACACTTGTATATGTTTAGGTATATAAATTCATAATCTAAAATATGTAAGTATAATATCTATAGTTTATAAATATAAAAGGAATAATGAAAAGGCAATAATAAAATTATGGTGAGGAAAGGATGAACAAGCATAGTAGATTTGGGAGCAGTAAAATGATTTTCTATGATACTATAACAATGGATACATTATCAGTATACATTTCTTAGAACTCACACTTCAATAACAATATGCCAATATTAGCTCTTCAATTGTAACAACTATTGTACAACATTAATGCAAATAATGTCAATAATAGGTAAAAATGGGGCTAGGCAGGGCAACTACAGGAATTCTAATTTTAGCCCAATTTTTTTCACACTTAATATGCTCTAATAATCTATTAACAATCTATTAATTAAAATAGGTCCACACAAGCAGAAAAAGAAGGAACCTGAAGCTAGAGTTAATGCCAAATGGTACAACATTTTTTTTAAATGAACAATAAAACTGAGCATGGTGACTCATGTTTGTAATCTCAGACAATTAATTATACCTAGGAAAGATTACTCCTTGACTTAAGATTACACAAATTAATTTTTAGATATAAAATAATTATTTTTTCCCAAATGTTACCATACACATTAGCTATTTTGCTCTCAATGGTCTTATTTGACAAAAAAAAAAAATTAATGGTGAAATCTGTCTATTAGAAATTTTACTGGTCTATAAAATTTAAAAATCTGCAAAAATGTTGACATAGAAGATTAAAACAATTCATCCATTTTCTAACACAAAAACCCATTAAAAACAATTCTACCATTCAAAAGTCCTCTTCTCTAGGTAAGACAGTGTCTTTACCAGCTTCAAACTACAAGGTTGAATAAACTTTCAATTTCCTTTATGCCTCTTCTAAATCCTTCTTTTACTTTATCTAAAATCTACCTAAAATCAAAAGTTTTTCCTTACCATTGAAGTCTACATTTATCGTTTCTTACTCTGAATATCTCAAACATCTCTAATGTCTTAGCTTACTCAGCCCAAGCAACCTATAAAAAACGACAATGAGGATTCTTTTAAGAGACACATCAGTATATTTTAGGAGAATGGAAATTTCCAACACTGGAAATTTAAAATTGTATTTTAAAAAGTCCTTCCAGCTAGGCACCAGTGGCTCACGCCTGTAATCCTAGCTACTCAGGAGGCTGAGATCTCAGGATCACAGTTCAAAGCCAGCCCGAGCAGGAAAGTCCATGAGACTCTTATCTCCAATAAACTACTAGAAAACCGGAAGTGGTGCTGTAGCTCAAGTGACAGAGTGCTCACCTTGAGCTGAAGAGCTGAGGGACAGGGCCCAGGCACAGAGTTCAAGTCCCACGACCAACAAAAAAAAAATTTAAAAAAAAAGGGTCTTTCTAGGGCTGGAATTGTGGGATTAGTGGTAGAATGCTCGCCTAGCATGCATGAAGACCTGGGTTCAATTCCCCTGTACCACAGAAAAAGCCAGGAGTGGCATTGTGTGGCTCAAGTGGTAGAGTGCCAGCCTTGAGCAAAAGAAGCTCAGGGACAGTACTTAGGCCCTGAGTTCCACCCCAGGACTGGCAAAAAAAAAAGTCCTTCGATATACAATCTGATTTAGGAACAATTAATGCATACTATAGAACAAATCCATACCTTAGAAGAAAAGTATTTATGATTATCTTTTAATAAAAATTATATTTCTTCTTGAGCTTCTTTTATGGAATAAAGGAATATAGGAGTAGATTAAACCTTAATAATCATACTATTCTGCTGGGCACCAGTGGCTCACACCTGTAATCCTAGCTACTCAGGAGGCTGAGATCTGAGGATCACAGTTCAAAGCCAGCCTGGGCAGGAAAGTCCATGAGACACTTATCTCCAATAAGCCACCAGAAAACTGAAAGTGGCACTGTGGCTCAAATGGTAGAGTGCTAGCCTTGAGCTGAAGAGCTGAGGGACAACATCCAGGCCCAGAGTTCAGGCCCCATGACTGACAAAAAATAAATAAATAAATAATCATACTATTTATCTTAAGAATTGCCATGAAACCTAAAATGTTCCTGACTCATGTTCAGTTGTACATTCCAAAGATTTAATTTCAAAACAAGTAATTTCAAATGCAACTATAATATGCAGAGGCATTTTTGAAAATAATATACTGTAAGAATGCAAATGTTGCAAAAAAGTTAACATACTTGTGCTTAACTTTAGCCGAATGGGCAGCAACCAAAATTTGATTTAAAAAAAAAAAAAAGTTAGCCTAAATATAGTCTTACTAACCTGTTTGTTGTTCTCTGCCATGGAAAGCTGTAATGCCAAAAGCATGGAGTCTGCACCACATAAAGTAGTTCTTTCAGAGTTACAAAGAGCATGCCAATTCCTTCTAAACTCTTTAATCATATCCAAGACAGAGGTCTGATTAAGCACAGCCATTCTCTTAAAGTAGAACAGAACAGAACAGAACACAATGATAAAGTACTTTAATTGGAAATTAACATTTGACATGTGTAAGCCAGCACAGTTAAAGAAAAATAAGTAGTGGAGAAGAGGTCATTTCATATTTACCAAGATTGTTTTTAATTAAATTTAGGAAAACAGAATAATACAATTTCAGCCCAATCATATTTTCCTCTACTTTATTTTTCTTAAGCCAAATCTTTTGAAATAACAAAAATCCAACCTTCAATTTTGAAAATTCACCCAAAACAGACATGCAAATTCTGCAAATTTATAATTATAGACACAGACATCACTAATTAAAGCTGGATTTTAAAAGTATTTATTTGAATACATGATAGTGTCTGTAGTGATTGAAAGAAAAAAAAAAAGTCAATTTCCTCCCATCCCTACACTCTCACAAAAGAAGTAGTCTATTTTTTCCAATCATTTGATCTAGGGCCAGTTTTGTGACTTGATTTGACCAATAGAACGTGATGAGAATAATATAATGAAAATTCTGAACCTAGGCCATACAAAGTCTGTGCAGAAGAATTAATATAAGCAGGAATGATTTCCATCCTTTAAGCTAAAGTCTAGGAACTTGAGTTTCAGGAAGATTTCCAATAAGCCGCTCATGTGCTGAACTGTTGGTATAAATAATATAGTCTATGCTGGAATTTTGGTACATACCACATTGGGCATATCTGTATATTTAGCCCCCCAATAAAAACCCTGGCACCAAGTTTCTAATACACTTCCTTGACAGACAACATTTCACCCAGGTTGTCATAACCTGTTGCTGAAGAAATTAAACATGACCTATGTGACCAGAGTGTGTCTATTCCCCCTAGACTTTGCTCCACATGCCTTTTCCCTTTACTGATGTATCTTTTTGCTATAATAAACCATAGCCATAACTATAACTATTTGCTGAGTACTATGAATGCTCCTGTAGTCATCCTATTTGGACTGGTCATTTTAATATATATCATTTGTTTTTATTAGCATATATTGGTGGTACAATTGGAGGTCTCATTCCAGTATTTCAAAACATATATAAAATATCCTCTGATCATTCCTCCCTCATTCCTCTTCTCCCCCATAATTGAAACAATGTCAACAGGATTCATTATGTTTTCATATATTCATGTAAAGTATTTAAACCATATTTACATTCCGTCCATTCTCTCCATTGGCGCGCTTGCTCTCTCTCTCTCTCTCTCTCTCTCTCTCTCTCTCTCTCTCTCTCTCTCACTGGTTCCCAGCATTGTTGTTTGTTAGGCTTATGTTAATTCCACAAAGGGATTTCACTATCATTATTTCACACATTCATCAATTACACATTAGTCAGATTAACCTATTCTATTGCTCTTTCTACATCCTAGGAGGTGATCTTGAGGACTTCCCAACACAAAACCTTGAAGCCTCAATTCTCACTTTCTTGCTGCTTGGAGCTAGATGGACGAAGTCCAAGGTAGCCTGCTAAAAGAGGAGATGGGAGGAGAACCACAGCACACCAGGTGACAATGAATACCAATTCACAGGCATGTGAATGAGGGAGGCTACCTTACAGTATGTACCCTTAGTCTACCTGCCAGATAAACTTCAACAAGAACAAATTACCCAAATTGCTGACCTACAGAATCATACACAAATAAATGTTATTTTTACATCCAGTAAGGTTTTTTGTTTTCTTTTTGGAAGTTTTGTTTTTTGGTGTCCGTCTTGGGGCGTGAACTCAGGGCCTGGGTGCTATAGCTGAACTTTGCTCCTCAAGGCTAGCACTCTACCACTTGAACAACAGCTCTACTTATGGCTTTTTAGAGTTAAGAGTCTCAGAGATTTTCCTGCCCAGGCTGGCTTCAAACTGCGATCCTCAGAATATCAGTCTCCTGGGTAGCTAGGATTACAGGCATGAACACGTGGCTACAGCCACTAAGTTTTGAGAAAGTTTGTTATATAGCCATTGATACTCAATATTACTGCTAACATGTAGGGGCTACTTGGTGTCCATACTTTTCAAATCTCACAAGTGTCCTACTGAAGTGGCCCTATTCTTCTTATTTTGCATCTAAAGAAAGTAATGTCCCATGTCATTCTGTTAGTAAATGACCAAGCAAACATAAGTCTCCAAGTTGGGATTCTAAATCTCTATACTTCAGAACTTCTCCTGATACAGGCAAGTCTTTTCAAATAATCTGATGTAGTGCCAATATTTTATACACCCAAGCCTCAACAAGGCAGCCAATTCCTTTCTGAATTTACCAACATACCTGACAAGTTATTTTGTTTTCTTTCAACTACCTGTTTCCAGCATGCCCATATATTTCCATCCCATTTACTGATTCCTTCTGTTATTTCTTTCTTCTACTTAATGTAGCATAAACAGAATTCTAGATGTTTACAAGGCATTTGAGTTTTGTACAATGAAGAAAAAGGGCATATGTCATTAACAAAACAATGATTTGGGTCACAGACATAATCTGTGATACAATGTAAACATAAAGGTAGAAGACCACAAATGAAGCACCAACTTCCTAATCTAATCAGTTTTCCTGAAATAAATTTTAACAATAGGCTATTGTTAGTATTTTAAGATATTAATGAGTTTACATTGCTATCAATTAAAATTCACCTAGAAGAGATCATTCTGAATCTTTATTCTAACCACTTACTAGATGAAATCTTGGTCAAGTTATATCACTTCTATCTCAGATTCCTTGTAGTGAAAATGGAAATGGTTACTATCTCACAGAATACTGTGAAGAGTAAATTACATAAAAATAAGGAAAGCTTTTAGAAGTGCCTGATCCATTTAGAAAACACACTAGCTATTATCATGCATTATCAGTTTATTGATGCTGGGGGGTTTTTTGTTATTAAATTTGAAGGATCTTTGCTATCTGTGATAGAAAACCGAGAGTCTCATCTAGGAATTATCAGACCTTTTCGAAAGGTTTAATAAGTACTAAATATTTGAGATATATGGGCATATAGTCTATGGAACAACTCCTTAATTTTTTGTATGAAAGTAACCAGGAATAACACATAAATGATCATAGTTGTGTTCTAGCAAAGTTTATTAATAAATATTGAAATTGGTTTTTCATGTAATTTTCATGTATGCCACAAAATATGGTTCCTTCATTCTATTCCCAGCTATTTAAACATATAAAGTCCATTCTTAGTTAAGGTGCTGGCTGCCCACAGACAGACAATGCAACTGTTTTCCAACCTGGAGTCTAATCCCATTTCTGCCAATACCTCATTCAGCATAAGCCTAGAAAATAGGCTTTATACCTGGCTGTCCAAGTAGAAGTATCATCACATAAAAAACAGAACTACTACTCATCCTTTCTACATACCTTCCAGCCTGATGTGAGAGGTCAAACACTGAATATGCAAGCTCTGAATGCCAGCGGCACTTTACAAAACACGACAGGTGACAGCAGTAATACACACTTGTTTTTAGAAACTGGATTCCAAGATGCACTAGAGAAAAATTGTTGACAGGAAATTGTCACTTGGTGAAAACGTGAGATGAGTTTAAGAACTACACTTTCCCCAGCCAGCACCCTTCCCTTCACTAATTAGAAGTTATGAAATCTCTCTGATGGGCATAAATTTCTTCATCTGTATAATAGGGAAGATATGTTCCTAATAGAATTGCAAGAATCTTAGTGAAAGAAGCATATATTGCCAGGCAATCAGTAAATGCAAAATAAAAAGCAGTGGGGGGGGAGGGCTGGAAATGTGGTCCGTAGTAGAGTGCTTGCCTAGCATGCATGAAGCCCTGGGTTCGATTCCTCATCACCACATACACAGAAAGATCCACAAGTGGCGCTGTGGCTCAAGTGGTCGAGCACTAGCCTTGAGCAAAAGAACCTTAGGGACCGCACCGAGGCCCTGAGTTTAAGCCCCAGGACTGGCAAAAATAAATAAATAAATAAATGGGAAAACTTTTTTAAAAAGCAGCAAGAGATTCCACTTTTGTCCTAAATATTCCTTGGGATGAGGATATAACATCAAGTACGGAAAGGGAAGTTGCGGGATGGGAGTCTGCACACGTCGTGAGAACAGAACCTTAGTTTCACGCCTATTTAGTGGTCTTCACACAGGCTCTTGCTGGGCCTCCGTCGGCCTATCGGCCAAGATCTTCCGGCTCCAGCACCAGACACTATAAACGTAATCTGCCCCAAGGTCCCACGATGAAAGTGGGGCTGTGGCCAGAACGCTAGCATTGAGCAGAAAAGCTCGGGGCCAGCGCGCAGACTCTGAGTTCAAGGCCCATGCCCGACTCAATAACAAAGTTCCCACCAAACCACCAACCCAGGCAGGCAGATATCTCTTCCCTCCCATCCAAACACCTTTACAAGCTACCTCTTGTCGCCACTCCCAGTGAGGCAGGCAGGCTGGAAAGAGGCTGGCGGGACTCACTCGGCTCAAAGATGCCCGGGGAGAAGCCAACTCCGCTGAGGAAGACGCCAGACGTGCGGCTGGAAGGCCCAAGTCTCTCCGTCGCCGCGGTTTACATTTCAAATCTCGCGGGAGGGTCCGGGAACCAATCACCGCGCTTCGCCCTTCGACCCGGAAACAGAACCGGGATGCGCGGCGCGGCTTCCCGCAGCCCAGAGTGACAGCCCAGAGGTGACTTCCGGCCTTCTGCGGTGCGTATTGTACCTGGACACCCCCCACACACACACACCCCGCCCCAGGGCCTGGCAGCTTCGCTCCCGGAGGCCACGCGCCCCAGCATTTATCTCGGGGCGTCCTTCTCGTTCACCTCGGGTTCAGGGAGATGGGAGCGGGATGCCGAGGGACGCTGGCGGCCCTCCGTGCCCAGGAGGCCTTGTGGATGTTCATAACGCCAGGCTTCAGTGAGGGGCTGGCACCCGAGTGTCCGACCTCGAATCGCTAGTGGTGACCGCCTCACCTGCTGGTCAGCTGGGCACGTGTCCACTCGGGGATGCTCCCACCTGAAGGTTACTAGCTCCCCCGAGACGGGACCCTTCTGAGTCTCAGTGGACGCTCAAGGGCCACATGGTGATGTGTGTGTACTTGAGCCCAATTCTTGGCCCAGCTCTTGTGTAAAATCGTTAATAATAAACCACTCAGATTCTTAATTCTACGGAAATACAACTTCCAGCGTATACAGATGGCCTTGACGGGATAGTTGAAGTTTCGTGCCTGGTATTTTTGCTTGTGTGTTGGTGCCAGGAGCTAGTGAACTCAGGGCCCGGGCACTATCCTTGAACTTCTTTTTTGCACAAGGCTAGCACTCTACCACTTGAGCCATAGCGCCACTCTCGGCCTTTTCTGTTTATGTGGTACTGGAGAATCGAGCCTACGGCTTCACGCTTGCTAGGCACGCATTCTACCCACTAAGCCACATTGCCAGCCCCTAGTGCCTGGTTTTATGAATAACCTTATTATTTTTGGGGGGGTGGTCGGTCGTGGGGCTTGAACTCTGGGCCTGAGCGCTGTCCATCAGCTCTTCAGCTCATGGCAAGCGCTCTACCACTTGAGCTACAGCGCCATTTCCATGACTAACTTTTTGTCACACATGTTGGCACTCCCATTTCTCATCCTGAGTCATAACTATCCCTAGATAAAGGCTTTGTTTTTCTGTAGCGCCGTTGCCCAACATACAAATTTTCAGATCCTGATCCTGCTTGTAAGTTTGACAAATTCTTAAAACCTTAAAATCTTTACTGTTATATTTAAATGCTATCAGTAGTACCGCATTTATGCAAATATTCAATGTGATAATGTCAGTAAAATGGCAAACATGCCATTTACAAATAATGCTCTGTAAATATTGTTAAATTTTTATATGAGTATATTTTCTGTTAAAATAGCTACATTTTCAAGTGCTATATATTTTAAACAGAATTTTACAGTGTTACAATTGTGGCTGTCACAAATGTGGAAAAGGGGAAAGCTGTGGAGCAGGTGCTGAACTGTTCATAATTAGATTAATTTTTGTTTTCTGTCATTTGATAAATCCTTTTACTTTCTGTTGACCTGTATGTGACATTGCCAATTCCCAACCATGTTTTGATTCGTTTTTTAAAAATTACTATCACTGACCTCGGAATATGGCTTAGTGGTAGGTAGAGTGCTTGCTTAGCATGCATGAAGCCGTGGGTTCAATTCCTCAGTCCCACATAAACAGGAAAATCTGGAAGTGGCTCAAGTGGTAGAATGCTGCTAGCCTTGAGCAAAAGAAGCTCAGGGGCAGTACCAAGCCTTGAGTTCAAGCCCCAGGATTGGCAAAAAAATAAAAATTACTATCCCTGACCATTGTAATTGTATTTGTGCTGTAATCCACAGTTTTGTCACATTATCCAAAAGGCATTTTACTCATTCAACTGCTGAAGTTTTGACATACAAGATGAAGCAAGATGCTGCAAGAAATACTGCTACCTACACTGTGGATTGTGAAGATTATGTGCATGTGGTAGAATTTAATCCCTTTGAGAGTGGTGATTCGGGAAGTTTAATTGCATATGGTGGCAATAATTATGTGGCTGTTGGCATGTGTACATTTCAGGTTAGTCTACAAACTACCACTTAATAACAATGAAGATAATTCACTGATTAAGAAAAATCTATACAAACCTAAAATATATTTGGATTGAGTTTGTGTTTAAAAAGAAATGAACACCCACACAGAGACATTACCATTAATATATGATTGTGATTTGTGCAAATTTTTCATAGATAGTGGAAAAGAAGAGCATGAAGCTTCTCTTTTGCCTTGTGATTAGTAATAGAATATTCTAGTCATTAAAATCAATGAGTAATTGCACACTGGTATATGTGGAAAAAAAATAGTGTGAGACTAAAAATGATCTCCAAGGAAAATTGCAGGTCTCATGTTTATCTTTCCTATTAATCTACTTTCAAATTTTTTATTCATCTAAAGCTTATGTTTAGAATATCCAAAATGTTGGGGTCATATTAACAGAGCAGACAGTCCAGCATGTGAGAGCATGAATTCTGGAGCCAAAATGTCTACAGTTCTAAATGCAACTCTTAACCATACAATTTAATATCTTTTCTATAAATATGAGGAAAATAATGCTCAATACAGTTTTGTAGGAATGTAAGGTAGTATTTGTAATGTTCCTAGAAGACATGTGACACATTATAATCTATATGGATTTGTTTTGTTGTAGCTTTTGTTGATATAGGCAGTTGTGATAGTCAGACTTACAAATATTCATCAAAATAACATTCTTCTAAGTAAGTCCATGTCAAATTTTCCCACAGAAAACTAGACCATGTATGAGAGAAGATCAACAAATTAGGTTTAACTCTCTGGAATATCTACGTAAGCCTTTGCCAGAATATTTCTAGAAATACAATTTTTAAATTACAAATAATTAGGTAATTTGACGATGGACCAATTTTCAAAGAAATACTGTTTTCTTTTTTACTCAAGAGGCAGTTTCTTTTACAGTTATGGCATCAAAATTCAATTAAGGCCAGGCACCAGTGGTTCACACTTATAAGCCTAGCTACCCAGGATACTGAAATCTGAGGTTCATAGTTCAAAGGTACCCTAAGCAGAAAAATTTGTGAGACTCTTAATCTCTAACCACCAAAAAGCCAGAAGTGGTATTGTGGCTAAAGTGGTAGAGAACTATCTCCTAGAGCAAAAAATCTCAGAGACAGTGCCCAGACCCTGAGTTCAAGCCTCAAAACTGGCCAAAAAGAAAAAGAAAATTGTGAATTGGGGTTTCAGTCACTTGGAAATTCACCCTCAGACATAAAATTCTCAAAATGAGCTAACTCAGTACTGTTAGTAGGATTATAATGTGAATTTACAAAGAAAAGTTTCAATATTAGAGTAGCCACATAAAAATAAAAGCAGTGGGACTGGGAAGATGGCTCAGTGGTAGAGTGCTTGCCTTACATGCATGAGGCCCTGGGTTCGATTCCTCAGCACCACATAAGTAGAAAAAGCCGGAAGTGGGGCTGACGCTCAAGTGGTAGAGTGCTAGCCTTCAGCTGAAGAGCTGAGGGACAGCGCCCAGGCCCAGCTTTCAGGCCCCACAACTGACCAAAAAAAATAAAAGCAGTGAAATTCTAATATTTTTTGCGTAGTATATTTCAAATAATTTACATGTAATCTTTATAAAAATATTAATGTATATTCTTTTCATAGTGTAAGTTTAAAGCCATGATTTGTATTTTATACCTCATAGAGTATGTTCATATCACATTAAACTAGCAACACTTCAAATATTTAAGGCCCAGGGCTGGGGGTTTAGCTCAGCAGAAGAGTGCCTGCCTGGTGAGCGCAAGGCCCTGAGTTCGGTCCTCAGCTGGTTGGGAGGGGGGGGGACGGGGGGGGGGGGGGGGGGGGGGGGAGAGCTATAAAAGACAAAAAAAAAGGGCAAATATTTAAGGCCCCCTGTTACTAGGAGCTCCCATATAAATCAGCACTCTCTTTCCAAAGGAAATAATATATTTGAAAATGAATTTTAGAGTAGTATTAAAATGTTTTAAAGTGTTATGTGAGACAGGTTCTTAGAATTGTCCGTGGACTTTGTTACTTGTATCACTATTTGCAATTGCTGCTTGTAGTGCTGTAAGACAGGTACTAAATCTGCTTCTTTGTGTGTGTTCACCTAGTACAGATCAGTTATGGACAGATATTTGCCCTCATTGAATCAAACTTACTCTGTATGGTTCCAGAGACAGAGTTCCAGAGCAAATGAGTAGAATTTACATGGAACCAGTCTTTGGGTTAATGTTACACACTCTTAACACTGTTTCCCAAATGAAGGCATTCAGAAATGGTTTTTGCAGATTGTTCTGCTAGTGGTGAAGTATTAGATAGAAGACTCAGACTAGACTAGATAAATTCCAGTTTTGTCTAACTGAAGTTCTGTATTTGGCCTTAAAGGGGTGTGGTAGAAGACCTACCAGTTAAAAACCTTTGAATAGCACTTCTACCACCCTGACTGCGCCCCAACGTCAGATTGTTGGAGCTTTGTAGAATCATTCCACTTATGACAAATTTTCCGAAATCTCTTAATTTCCTGTCTATACAGTACTACCTACACCCCAAATTGAACCCAAAATAGCATTCATCTCTGCCTATACCACACATACAGTCTGCTCTTTTTGTTGGCTCAATAGCAGATAGTGGTGCCAGGAAAGAAAGGTTTCACACTAATACATAAAAACTCAAACTATGTAGTACCTGTTATGCCTATGACCATCCAACCTGTCAACATAGATATATAGATATTCTACTATATATTAACTTTCACCTGCTTTGTATTTTTTTTCTTGGAAGTTTTTTTGACTGTTATTATAAAAGTGATGTATAGAGGGGTTACAGTTATATGTCAGGTAATAAGTACACTTCTTTTTTTTTCTTTTAATAAGTTTTTTATGGTGACAATACTGTACAGAGGGGTTACAGTTACATGAGCAAGGTAATGAGTACATTTCTTATCAAGCATTGTTGCCTCCTCTTTTTCTCCT